GTATTTGAAAAAGATTGTGCCTTAAATCAAGATTGTATTTATTGGATCTTTGAATACAGTTGTTGAATAGGTATTCAGGCAATTATTAGGTATTTACTTTCTGTAAGGCTCAATTATTTTTAAATGCTTGTTTTCCAAATAGATTGAAGTAATGGGGTCAAATTTTCCGACTAAATATATGAATCTAATACATGAGTTTATTTTTAAATGTTTCAGTATGATATGAGTAGTAGACTGGCATGCAATAGTCTATAATAGGGTGTATATTCAGGCCCGTTCCTGGGGTGTCTGGCGCCTACGTGCAGCATTCGTTGGTGCGCCCCTTTTATATTTAAATATAATAAATTAAATATTTTAATCTGAAGCCCTTAAATTTAAAAAATATATATTTTGCGACAAACTGGCAAAATGGAATTGAAAATTTAAAAAAAAACCGCTTAAATTAAGTACCTATAAAAAATATTTATTAAATTACCAAACAAACAAAATCACAAAAAATATTCAGTGATAAAAATACTCTAAAGAAAACAAAAAAAAAACAATCTAAACAATATAATAACTAAAACTGGTTTTTAGTGACGTACTCTCTAAAAATGGATTAAACAAAAATGAGTTTTAAAAGTAAAAAAGCAGTCACTAATAACTTTAGTCCACAGCAATTTGTATCCTGGACAGTTAACAGCTTATTATTATGTACAATTATAAAAGTAAAGCAGATTTTAAGATATTGTCAATTCCATATTATATGGATAATTTACTAAATCTCAAAAACGTGCTACTTTTATAACTTTTGACGACATTTTCGGATTCAGCAGACAATTTTACATAGGAGTTGACTATTTCTATTGACGATAATTATTGGTCGCTGCTTTTTCGCTATGGCATTTAGACTAATTGAATTAGTAATTTTTGACTAATTCTATTTTAGAGAGTAAGCTCGTTACAAAGTCATGTTCTGTGTAGACTACTGTTAAACTTTGCTACCGTCAACTGCAACTATCAAACAAATACTAAAAATATTATGACCATTTGTCTCCTTTTATTTTGATCCCCCTATGTATGTTTAAGTATTATATGCAAGAAAGTTTATCGTTACTATACCGCGGAACTTTTCCAGCGATGACGTCAAAATGTTAACAATAATTAGAGTTAAAAAAGTAAACACGTATCTTTATACATGTGCAAAAAATAACTATAATATCACAATATAATCATTTTTATGTAATCGCTGGAAAACTTCCGCGCTATAATCGTTACAAAGTACTGATTGACTCTTTGATTTTGCGCCCCCAAAATGTTGCGCCTGCGTGCGTGCACGCACTGCACGCTCGCCAGGAACGGGCCTGTGTATATTAATGTTGAAACAATTTTGCACTTGGTGTTAGAATTTAGAACATATTTAAATTAATATAGTGATTTCAGCTTCATATAACACAAACTAAGTTGTCTTGTAACATGGCTTTCAAAGTTCAGGTTTGTATAAATAATAAAAAAACACCCAGATTTCTTGCTGTTTCTTGCTGAGGTATTTCTATAATATTTATATGTATGGTATTAAAATTATATTGTTTTTTATTTATCATATATACTGTACCAATATTTATTACAAGACCCTTTTTGGCATTTAACTGAAGTCTATGATTAACTGACCAAGCATTTACTTCTTTTAAGACTTTATTTATTTCGATAGTGGTTGTGTTAATTAATTTAGAGTAACGCAAAATCTTTTTTAAATTTAATAAAATCAAGCCAAGAGTTGCTAATTTTTGTTCATCAAAAGGCGTCTTAATAAAATAATAAAAAAAACTTAGACTGATACAGGCATTTGGTTTGTCTATGCAATAATACATGGGGTAACTTTTTGTTGCCATCGCAATTAAAATATATATAGAAAAATTTGGGCCCCCCAGGGCACCCTTAAATATTGGGCTAGAATGGCTATTTTTTTCGAAACATACTGTTAACATGAGGTTACTTTTTGTGGTTACCCCAATTAAAATATGAACAAAAAATATATTTTGGGCCTCCGGGGCACCCTTAAATTTTGGGCTAGTACGCTCATTTTTTTTTTAGAATTACTGTTAATATAAGGTAACTTTTGTGGTTAACCCAATTAAAATATGATAAAAATAAATATTTTGGGCCTCCGGGGCACCCTTAAATATTGGGCTAGTACGCTCATTTTTTTTTCTAGAATTACTGTTAACATAAGGTAACTTTTTGTTCCCACCCCAGTCAAAACATACAAAAAAAAATATTTTGGGCCCCCGGGGGACCTTTAAATAATGGGCTAGTACGCTACATTTTTTTCTAATAAATTACTTTTAACATAAGGTAACTTTTTATTGCTACCCAAAAATAAATATCTCAAATATTTTTTTTTTTTACGTTTTTCGGCCCACCCTACTCAGCATGCAAGGTCAGGTCATCTTTTACCACAATTTGACTGGACTAGTAGCCCTATGAAAAAAGTCACATTCTGACAATTGGGTATTTGAAAAAAAAATATCGACTCTTTTACTGTACTTTAAAACTTTATCATAAATAATATGGATTATCAATAAGGACAGCTGTCAACGGCTTCTAAATTCTAATTTAGTGCAAAAAATATTGTTGGCATCTAATAAAGGCCAATTTTGATAATATACCTGGGGTGGATATATTTATTCTCATTTCCTTAAAAATGGCATTCAGTTCAATTCAGCAGAAGGTGCTAGAGCTAATAATAATGTGAGGTTAAAAAATAACAATTATGTAAATTTGGATAAGAAACAAAATATTTTTAATTAAACGTAATGCAATTAATTGTATGTCATTAAATTATTTGTGGTTATGTTCAAACGCTAAAGGTAAAAGCATGGAGCCTACACAAGGAGTCCGAACTGCATGTAAACAAGAATCTTCCTAAGGAAAGTAGGCGCTGGTGTCCCGTTTATTCTGAAACAATTGACTAATTTGTACTGAAACGCTACCAAAAGAGCAGACGTCAGGACGCATCAACAATCAGCGCCGCTGGTGGTGAAAAAAAAAGACTTAATTTGTGCAATTTAGAGGGCAGGTTTTGTCAATTTTCCCTATTAAGTTCGGGCTCCTTGTGTAGGCTCCATGGGTAAAAGTATAACACGCGCTCGGGTTTTTTCGGAAACTGTCGGCGTGTCATCAGTACCAGGTTCAAAAAATTATTTTTAATTTTACATAACTTCTTAATTATAAGAAATACAATAATTATACTAATAGTTATTATAAATAATACTTTCTCCATCAACGACAAAAAATTTTTTTCACAACCCAATTTCTTTTGAGTGAGGGGCTCACAAAACATCGCTAAATCGGGAAATGAGCCGATTTGAAAAAAACTTGCATCCTTAATTATATAATTTTTCGATAGTAACATTCTTTAAATGCATGCCATTATGGCATTGCCATAAGCTTCATTTCTCAAAAATTGATCGAATACTTATTATTTTAAAAAATGACTACTCCCGCGCCGCACCCTCTATATTATAGAGTCTATAATAGTATATTCTGTAACAAGTTTGGAATTCAGCATATTCCGCTCGAGTGAAGAGTTTGTCACACGAGCCGAAGGCGAGTTTGACGGTTCCAAAATTTGTTAGATATTAAAAACAGAGATATTTCATTCTGTAAAACTTTACGGAATATATGTCATTCCATAGATAAAAGTGATATTAGAAGGGTCAAATTCCGTAATAGGAGTAGAAAAAACATATTTAATAATCACGTTTTTATAGACCCCCTTCCACCCAGGGCGTGATTTAAGAATTAAGAAAACCGAATACAACAATAATAATAATAATATTTAAACCTATTTTTAATGTATTTTGATTTTATAATGCATAATAGTGCTGTTTTATAAATAAGGTAATTTCATATTCAACAAATATAAATTCAATAGGTCAAAATTTTTTAAATTGTTACAGTGTAAGTTAATATAATTTTACAAAAATGTCAGATTTTTATTATTCAAAAATCTTTTACGTTAACTTATATCGGAATTATCGTTTTACTACTTATGACACTGTTGTCGCCCATGTGCGATATGATAATATACTTTCATAATTAATTTACTGATCAAACTCTTTTTAACTGGGGTGTCAAGGCGTACTTGGGGTCTGGGAGGTATGGAGTGCACCCACATTTAAGGGGGTGCGGTGGACCTAAATATTTATTGTAGCCAAAACATTTGTAGTATCATTTACACACAACTAGAGAGAGAGAGTAGGCATATTTTTAATTTGGGCCGGTTTATCAATCTCAAGTTAAGTTCAAGTTAGTATATCTGACAGTTAAATTTTATATCAATCGTTGTGAAAACAATGGTATCCATGAAAATTATCTAACAGATAACTAACTGCAACTTTAACTGGACATAGATAAACCGGCCCTGAGTGTTGTGCTTGATCTTTTATCATGTAAGTAAATATGAAGCAAACATCATATAATAATAAAGATTTATTCAACTTTTAATCAATGTCATCATCACAGGTTATTTTTATACAATAATTCTGTTTTGCCTTGAATTAAAATCGTCAATTACTTTGGAATCCTTTTGGTAGCCAAAAAAGCTAACAAGGACTTGTTTGTACATTTTTGATATTTGTACAAAATTATGAGGTGGCAAAATACTGGGTTGGAAAATTCTGGGGAGGTAACTGCCACCCATTGCTATCACCCAATTACACCACTGTTAATAATTGCATATTAATAATATGTATTTTTAAAAAGTTCGATGAAGATCCTATTTTAATGGGCATTTTTTCGGATGTTTAAAATTGCATTTAACTAGGTTATTATAAATAATTTATGAAAAAATATTAAAATGTTAATATTCATAAACAATTTATGAATAAATATTTATATATTTATCAAATTGTAAATTAAAAAAATATATTTTAAACAAACATTCGCAAATATCATATCGTTAAAAAAACAAAAACGGTGATGCGTTAAATTTTTTTTTTAAACCCATTGTTTTATAGGTGGCTATGGAGGCACATCATATGGCGAAGAAGGCGAAAGCGATGTTAAAGGATTCGATTTCAACGACGCCTCGATCCGTCGTGGTTTTATAAGAAAAGTTTACTCCATCCTTATGGTGCAGTTGTCAATAACTTTAGCTTTCATTGCTTGGATGGTTTACCATATACCTACTCAAAGATTTGTTAGAGCACATTCTGAACTTTTAATCGTTGCATTTGTGGTAAGTTTACAAAACGTTAAGATAAACATTCTTGATCTCCCCAAATTTACACAGCAAACGGAAAAATATAGAAGTATATAGGATGACTTCCCGTTTGAATACGAAATCTTTATCAGAACTGTATTGAATCGTGCTTTGTTTTTATACTTTTCGCCTCTATACATATGCACGACTATAGTTAAAGTCAAACTCAATGGTGTCTTACAAGATACATTATTTTGATTTTCTATATTCAACAGAGAGGTAGAAACTCGACCCTGTCATTTATGTCTCTAGAAATTATTAAAAAAGGGTTCAGTCCAATGGTGCAGCAACTTGGGATTTCTATTCTCCTCAGAGACATAGAAACTCAAGCTTTTCGAATTTTACTGGCAATGATTTTCATTAATTTCCCCGAGAATTATAAAAAAACAGCGCAATGCAACATCGCAACGATTTCGACTTCTCTTTACTCTACCAAGTTATAGAAACTGGAGTCTCTCTAATACTGTTCTAGTCAATATTTCTGAGACCTTAAAAAGAGGCTGTAATTCAATATTGCAAGAAGTTTGGATCTTTTGATGGATGGAAGTCTTTTGAATATTCTCATTTCTGCATATGATTTTGTTGAAAACAGTTTCTTTCTTTGGTTCCTTTGTCTGATTTTTATTTACCGTAACAACTCAGGTATGTAAAGCACAGAGGATATGATGTAAAGTATATTTATGTATTATATAAAGTCCCTATATTTGTATTAAAAATTTCATAGGTGATGTTGAAAAAACGATCGATATGCTATTAAACTTTAATAATTTAGTAATGAAGTCTGTTGGTGGACCCTGCTCTGTCTCCACTGGTAAATGTACAGCAATATTTAAATCTGGTTGATCAAAAAGTACACACCAGTGCAGGTTATTGTAGCATCTACGAACGAATGAATTAATGACCCATTGGCAATTATTCCTTTAGGAAAAATATTCAACACAGGTTAATTAATTAATTAAACAAAAAAACTCCAATCATGTCGTATATAGTTTTGTTTTCAAGCATAAAATAATTTTCATATTAATACTAGTTCAAAAGTGAAATTACGACCTCTATACGCTAAAGAAGTATCGCTAGTAGCGCCACCACTCGGCTGTTATCATCCTAACAAAAGTGCACTTTTAATAATCAGCTGTTAAACGCTTATGTTACAAACGAGTGTTTTTGAGAATAAAGCCGGAAAATGTTCAAAAATATCGAAAAAAAACCGTGGCTCGATTTGTTGTGTTGTTGGGTGTATTTCGAGAGGAAATCCTGGGTTGATTTACAGTGTTAATCCGAATGAAGAAATAAATTTCATACAGTCCCTGTAAATATAAATTGTATCTATTAAATACAATAAATACACATTTTAGTAATGATTAACGTGAAAAGTGTAAACATTTCAATTCAGTAATAATCGTCAAACAAATGAGTCGTCTAAATTTAAACAGAATTTAGCATTGTTAAAAGCGTTGATTAAGAATTCTTTTAAGTCTCCACCCAACGGTAAAATACCATTATATTATGTATTATATATAATATTATGTTGCCATGAATTCGTAGGTATATTTTGTTGTTTAAAATGCAATTTTTTAGAAAACTCAAATATAAAAATGGTTGATTTTAAGGTTATGTTTGTGCAAAAATTATTTTTTATCAATTTCTTAAATATAAATTATATTAGGTAAAGTTATCATTAGTTAATTCTGCACCAACAAATGTACTTACCGAATTGGATCCTTTGGCAAAACATGAAAATGCAACGATTTAGTTCTTGAATTTTATTTACAATTAAAAACACAATAATTCACCATGATCCCTTAGATAAGATACACACACTAACGTAACTTTATAAGCATTTAAGCGCTGAGTTTCTTAATCAATGATATAAAGAATAATCAATCGAAATCGAGTACTAAACCAGTTTTTTAGTTTTTTTCTTGTAACGTAAAACACAAATAACATGCGCGGTTTGGCTGTGCAATTGGACAAAATTTATCGAGTAAGACTTCTGCCTTCCTCTCTTTTGTGAAAAAATTACCTATTTATTTAACAATGATGTACAGTAGGGTGATTCAAAAAAAACTTTTTTTGTTTTCTTTTCTTGGAACCACGTTCAAAAGTTTCGTATAGATATAAAAATGAGCCTGTGAATAACTTTTAACCAAGTTTACTTACCGAAATAGACCTTTTTTGTAGAGCGTTCAATTCTCTACAAAAATATTTCAAAAAATTTTAAATGTGTCTGTTAGACTCGCCAAAAAAGTTAAAAAACCCAAAAATTTCGTATAATTTTAACTTTGACCTTAAATTTCTTTAGAAGGATCAAATTTATAAAAAAATCATAGGAAACCTTTTTTGTGTGACAAAAATATGTCAAGAACTTTACAGTACGACCTATCGTTCGTTAGTTACAAAAATAAAAAGAAACAAAAATTTTTTTTTCTACTCCCACCTTTAAAAGTTTTAAATTAAAACGCCCTTTATCGTACATGTTTCCATGACACTAAGTGACCTTTTAAATACACATTGACAAGTTGTGGCTTTACGACGCTTTAGTCACGGGCTGAAGTTAGCAACAGCTGAAGTTGGTTTTAAGTTAGTTGACAGTTGTCAAATGTCATACAATCTTTAAAATAAAGTGCCTTTCTTGTAAAATAATACTAAATGTGAAAATTATTTTATTATCTCAATACAAAAATACAAAAATATTAAATAGTTTCTCAACGCCAATATTTGAAAAGTTTATATGAACATTGTACTGACCTTTTAATTTCGCCGGCAGTAAACTATAACTTAAATTCGGGAACGGACTCTACTGTAAAGTCCTCATAAAACATTTCGTTTACTTTCACTGTGAAAAACTGTCAATTTTCAATATACATTTCAATGTACCTTTATAATTGTGTTTATAAAATGTAAAAATGTGACATTTGACAGTTTCCCCTGTTGTTTCATAGATGGCGCTCTATACAAATTTTTGATTTAAATCATTTTAAGATAATAATAAGTATTTGTTGTAGAAAAAGTATAGTATGCACCTCGTTTATAAACTTTTCTATACACTCATTAATTTAAGAACTCGCTCGCAAGCTCGCTCGTGCCTAAATTAAATTCGTGTATAAAATGGCGTTTATCAAACTTGATACATAATACACTATTTCCTATGTTATTCTTATGGAAAATCGAAAAGTGCGATGCGGAGCATCTTAATTTTGAAATTAAGAGCTCATTTTTTCACAGGCTCATTTTTATATCTATAAGAAACTTTTGAGCGTGGTTCCGAGAAAAAAAAACAAAAAAAAAAGGTTTTTTTGAATCACCCTAATGTACAGTTCGTATGCTTTAAATGTATTGTTGACAATTCACGCAATGCTTTTGAAGTCCACCAGATGGCGCGCGCGTTGCGAAAACTCAATACTTCTTTAGCGTATACTGTATATTGAAACGCTCGACTGACGAATACAACTCTAAACCTTGGCGAGGGTTTAGAAAACAGTATTAAAACGTGGCGTCATCCAATACACTTCTATATTTTTCCGTTTGCTGTGGAGTAAATTTAATTAACTTAAATGTTTTTAGGTAATAATTGTGGCTTTGATCGTTTTGGCATGTTGTGGCGAAGTGAGACGAAAGACGCCGATGAACTTCATCTTCTTGTTTATTTTCACCGTTGCCGAGGCATTTATGCTGGGCGTGACGGCATCGACCTACAGATCCGATGAGGTCGTGATGGCGGTGGGCATCACCGCGGTCGTGTGCCTCGGCCTCACTCTGTTCGCCTTTCAAACCAGATGGGATTTCACGATGATGGGAGGCATTTTGTTTGTCGCCGTCTTGATCCTGTTCGTTTTCGGCATTGTTGCCATGTTCTGGCACAACAAGATCGTTAAGATGGTGTATGCCTCGTTGGGCGCGCTCATTTTCTCGATCTACTTGATCTACGACACCCAAATGATGATGGGTGGAAAGCACAAGTACTCAATATCGCCGGAAGAGTACGTTTTCGCTGCTTTGAATCTTTACATCGACATTGTCAACATTTTCATGTACATTTTGAGTATTATTGGGCATTCTCGAGACTAAATGCACTAACTACTATACTGTATGTAAATACACGTTTTTATTTGTTGTTCTGACTATAAATACTTATTTGTTGCCTGGTTAAAAGTATTTTCATAAAGGGTTTTGGGAGACTTGAAAACATCACCTGATATATTTAAATATAAAAAAGCTTCTCAACATTTCCCCCATTCAACTTTAATTAATTCTATATAAACGATAACCAAACTAATATTATTGCTTTTGAGTAGAACCACTTCACACTAGGGATTCTCTATGTAACTATTATAATATAGAACATTTGTATTACTTGTAAATAAGATATAAACAACTTTCTTGAATAAATAAATACCAGGGACTGGACATTAAAAGTTTTACTCACTCTTTTATATGACACAATGTAGTAAAATGAACTTTTTAAGTCAATAAAAAGAAAGTGGGTGAAATTTTTGATCTCCCTCCCTTATTAATATGCAACTTCTTATTTTAATATAATGTATGTATGTTTGTAGGGTTTAGAGATGGTTATAACTTAAAGTTTTTTTAAGTTATTTTATATTTAAAAGGAGTTTACTTTTTTGGATTATGTTGAATATGAAATTTAAAAGTTATAACCACAATATTTTAATAATGCAATTACAGAAGAGCAAAGTAATAAATATTAGTATATAGTATATAATTTATAATTTAAATTTATGTATGTGATAAGATGTTTTTGAATATTACATAGGTATGTAATGCACTCAATAAATATACCAAAATAAAAATGTTTTTTTTTACAAAGCACAACGCGACAGGAAATAGGAATCCTGACAAATATACAGTGTCCCAGAAGTCGCGCACCACCTTGAATGTACAGACCCCCAGAAAATTGTTAATAAATTCTACCTTCATCAAAGATTAAATAAAAATATATTTAATCTTTGCCTTCATTATATAAAAATATAAACCCCTTTCTAAACTTAAAAATAATAGGTTTCCCTAGGGAAAATTGTTAATAAATTCTACCTTCATCAAAGATTAAATAAAAATATATTTAATCTTTGCCTTCATTATATAAAAATATAAACCCCTTTCTAAACTTAAAAATAATAGGTTTCCCTAGGGATTACGCCTAATGTACAGAATGTTTAAACAATGGCCTCATTAGGAATGTTTTATCGTAAGTAATATCATAAGGGCATTTAATTTTTCCGAAAAGAATCGAAAAAACACGTTGCTAAGTGATATTTTAACAAAAAGCATGAGTGCTGGTGGCAACAAAAATCCGAGTCGAAGAGGAGGATTTTTGCACCTGCACAAGTGCTTTTTGTTAAAAAGTATTACTTAGCATTGTGTTTTTTCGATTTTTTTCACAGGAAAAATTAGATGCCCGAATGCCATTCGGCGAATGGTATTTGACAAGACTATTTCATGAGTAACAGTTAACAATTAAAATATAAATTGCAATTTTTGGTGACAACAGCTGTCAAGTTTTGCCGCGGGTAAACTCGAATAAACTGCTGACAGGTGCTGTCACACAGTTTTTTCACCTAGAAACCATTTCTAATTCAAAATTGCGCGTTTGTGATTGGTGGAAATTAAGACGAGGGAAATAGTCTTATAAAAATGCATTTTAGGATTTTCACTTAACAATACGCGTGCGTTTGCCAACATGATGTTCAACAACAATTATAATTGCAACAATGTATACAAGTGATTTGTACTGAAACAGAACCAAAACAGCAGACCTAAGTACAAAATAGAAATCAGCACCGCTAGTGTATTATAGTGGTGAAAAAACTAATTTGTGTGAATTAGTGGGCAGGATTTGTCAATTCTCCCTAATAATTAAGTTTGTACTCCTTGTGTATACACAAAAAGCCTATAGGTTCCATGATCATAATTAATTGGTTAGTTAATTGTTATCTGTTGACATCACACAATAGACAACGATTAACGGTTTAAAATTCTGTTATTGATTTGTATTAATACCTACTTACTAAAGGAATTCCTTTATTAAGTGGGTAGTACTCACTACATATTCTCCATACATATCACAATAGGTATATATTGTAATATGTATGGAGAATGGTTAAAAATGCAAGTCACACAGAACATAAGTCATTTAGGCTGTGTCTTTATGTATAGTTGTACCTATAGTTTTTCTTCATAGATTTAATAAGTTTCTGACAAGAACTCCCAGCTTTTGCTTCTGTCAAGTCACGTAAAATAAATAACCTATAGATAGGTTATAAAGTAACTTTTTAAATAAATAAGGTAGGTTTTGCTAAATCAAACATCTTTTAGGTGGTGCGCGACTTCTGGGACACCCTGTATGAAAAAGTGTGTTTGTTTGTATGCCTTTCAGGCAGCAATAGTAAGACCAGATTTTGTGCATTGAGTTTATGGAAAGTAACATAGGCAACTGTTTTTTGTTCATTTTTTCGACTTCCATTTTTTTTGCTTTCTTGGCTTTTTATATCTCCAGCGTAGCGGCCTCCAACGGCCCCTCACGACATAGCTGTTAAAACCTAGTAATTTTAATAAAAGACGGGTTAATAATTAATTTATATTACTGAGATCATAAAAATGTCAAATTTTATATATAAAAAATATTAACATTAAAAGCTCATATTATGTTTTTAGAAATGTAAATAAGTTGGTTACATTAATGAAGTTAAGTCTTTTTTTACAATGATAACGTTTTGGCATATTTTATTTTTTGTGTAAGGGATTAAATAAGTGTAACAGCTTAAATGAAAACTTTATATTTATTATTAATATACATATTTCTCGAATTTCTAATAAAAATCATAAAGCATTGTCAGCAACTGTATTAATTTGTTAGATGGCTGTAAAAAAGTTTTATAAGTATTCAGAGCTAAACACAATTGCAGGCAATATTTTTATGTTTTTATATAATTAAATTATAGAAAGCCATAATAGCTTTTTTTAAGTAATAGAAAAATATTAAAATTTAAATAAATATACAACAAAAAATAAAATAATGACAAAACAGTAGATATATCTACTAAATTAGTTCGCTTTCATTTTGATTATACAAATTATATGGCAAAATTTACAATAGAACTAAATAGGTAAATATGGCTAACATAAAGCACATAAGCTATTGCTTGATTCAAATATTCTAGAACTATAACTGGGTTTTTGGTTCCATAACACATTTTTAGTTTGAAAAAAGGGTAAACTGGGTTTCTGACTCTATCCATACACTGTTACACAATGAAAATGTGTGAAAATTTTGCAACTTATGTAACAGTATGTTTATGGATACATAAATAATCAATTAATGGAAACATTTACCTTACATTAAAACATTTTGATCATAGGCATTCTGTATTATTGGTATTTATTTATTATTTGTGCGTTTGCGTTTAAATTACACAACGTAAATAAAATAATATTTTTGTGGTAACTCAGAAACCAGCTTATAAAGATAAATAAAACTAAAATAGACTTTTTGTGAAATGTCCTTACTATTAAAAAATGAAATGCAATAACTAATTACAGCATGACTTTGTGGTGCTGGGTTGTTGCCTCCTGTCGACATAGACTCGATCTGCTGGATCTCCAGGTTCTCTGCCTGCAGTTTTCTCCAAAATTGCCCCCGCTAACTCGCTGAATGCTCTCTCTATATTAATGTTAGCTTTGGCTGAGGTTTCCATGAACCGTATTCCATGTTCTCTTGCAATCTAGAAGAAATAAGTGATATTTTTAAATTATCCCTATAATTTTCGTTTCTCAACTGATCTTAAATTTTCAGTATTGTGTTGTCGCCTCAACTTAAATCAATAAATACTAATAAATGGTAACAAAATATTTTCTAGGGAGGGGCCGTCCATAAATCTCGTGACGCTGGAGAGGGGAGGGGGTTTGAAGGACCGTCACAGTTTGTTACGACCGAGGAGGGAGGGTTTATTAAAACGTCACGTGACAAAGTAAATCGAATGCAATAATGGGGTAGTTAAATTTTTTCTGACCTATACTTTTTATGGTTTTATTCAAGGCGTTTTGTAATTTTAAACATCTTTGTGAAATCGGAATTTTAATTAAGTTTACCGTTTTCGAGATATTTACAAAAAAAAGTCTCCTAATTACGTCACTAGGCTATTGACAACGTTGCCAGCTTTTTCTATGGTGTTTAGTTTAAGATTCTTACGATAGATGGCGCCACGTTATAATATTTTAGTTTTAAAACTACTTGATCTAAAATTTTAGTTGAGAAGAAGAAGAATTGATTTTTTGACGTTTCTTTTTTAATTTAGATTATTGAAAATCAATGTTATTGTTATGTTATTTGTAATTGATATTAGATAAGTGATTTATTAATAACGGACTCCAAAGCAGAGGAATCTTGTGGAATGGTTGGTTACATTGAACATTGGAGCTTTTAAACAAATAAAGTAAATACCTATAATTATAATCATATTTTGTCGTAAATGCATTTCATTAGTATAATGCCTAGTTCTTTATATTCTTTTAGATATATCTTGGACTCAAAAATATCAAACAGTAATATGATACCTCGTAATAAGGAAAATAGGTACTTAATGAATTTGGTGACCATCTTTCACTCAACTGACAGTGACAGTATTTGTACATAACCTCTTCGGGTATTTTCTGATATAACCGAATGAAATCATTAACAAGACAACTTGACAACAGGGTAATTTTCAACCAATAGAAATCTTAGAATGTTGGTCACATGGCGAGGTTTGTGACGTCATAAAAATGTATATTTTTTGTAAATATCTCGAAAACGGTAAACTCATTTGAAATTCTGATTTCACAGAAATGTTTAATATTACAAAACGCCTTGAATAAAACCATAAAAAGTATAGGTCAGAAAAAATTTAACTACCCCATTGCTTAAGTCCACGTCTGACGGTGCAACTTCAGGGCTGGATGCTCCCGTGTACGAGTTTTGGTTCGTCCCGCGCATGACGTCACTTGATGAGTAGTTGCCGTGAGAATACACGAATAATAGTAATATTATCAAAGAAAATAGAGAAATATCTTGACATAGTGCGTTTTTATTAAACTTAATATTGAAGAAAGTGTTATAATATGGATAATAGATGCTTTCAGTCCTTGATAACATTTAGGGCTGTAGTTTAAGCGTTGGTGTTTTAAATTAAACTTATAGTCACTATCCAGAAAATGTTTATAGGAAACTTAACTTTAATATTGTCTATTCTTTTTGTGGTATTTAAACACTGTTTTCACAAATCAAACTTTTTCGGGAATCAATTAAATTTAATGTTTTTATTTAAAGGGTTTTTCTTGGACTGGTTGTCCAAATTGCATCCAAATATGCCACACCGCATTTTAATAAATGCAAATGGCACGACACAAAATAAAACACGTTAAAGAATTAAAAACACTCATCAAGTGACGTAATTAAGCCCCGCCCAACATGCGCACCATCCTATCTTAAGGTGCAACTTCTAGCGGCGACCAGATGCAACGACTTTCTCGCCTCTGGGGTGGTCACACGATGCAACCAAATTGAAGCTATTTTCTACTAGGATTGCCAACTTAACCGAAAATTACTAATTTGAAAAAAATTACGTTGTATTTTGTGGTGTAAAAACCCCATGACCAAGTTTGGTTTATTTTTACAGGCATGTAAATAAAAAAACGCATAGATTATAAACGCAAATCACAAGATAAAACTCATCTGTCATTCCACAGCTGATAAATATTGAGTACCAACAAAAATAGTTACTAAGTCGCCGCGACTTTATTGCATGAAAAAAGAACATGTTCTATTTTAGGACAAGTTAGATCAGCTGATTAGTTGCGCCCTGTGAACACCAAAAAATCGTGGCGACCTGGTCGCCCGACAAAGTCGCCGCGAGAAGTTGCACCGTCAGACTTTATTTGTAGTCAGATTATTACAAAAAAGAATCGGGAAAAATATATTTAGGGGGTAGGCGAGTTCGATAACTCGCCACATATATCGAGGTTTAAACTTTAAACCCGAAAATGGCGCACTAACGCCATACTACGTAACAGAGGAAGTGATTTTGAATAGTTTAGAACTACTAGTTTTTGAAATATAAAGTTTTTAAAATTATTACTTTAATGTTTTAGGATTCGTTTTTTATACGCATAAAAAAATCTAACATAGTATGCATTAAAATTGAAGCAATCTAAATTGTTATTTGCTCAATTAATTACTATTAAACCAAAATAGAAAAACATTTTGCCTAAATGTCAAAGAATTTATTGCGTTAAATGTATACATAGAATATATACTATGTATACATACTATGGTAACGTTATTAAATAAATCAAATTAGTATTTAATGCAATAACATTCTAACAAATAAAAATCAATATAAATATCAATAGATTTAGGAGCGATATCTTTTGTTATTAAGTTAAAAACAGTAAACGATTATAAACCAAGTATAAACTACCTATTGGTATTAGGGGTAGAACGATACTGATCAGGGCCATATTACCCATTAGGCAGGCAAGGCAATTGCCTTAGGCGCCACGTAGAAATAGGCGCCTTGTCCCCAGGCAACTTAAAAAAAATAAAAATTGTTACCAAAATGTTTATTTTTTCCAAAAATAAAACAAATAAACAATATACAATTGTAAAAACAAAAAAATATTTACTGTTTTTATTATTTTATAAAAATTTAGCTTCCTTTGTAATAACGAGGTGTAAAGCCGACAAAAAAGCGTGCGGCAAATTCACTTCTGTTTTTATGCCAAATACATAAATGTATTTCATATAAAATTAATCAGGTGTTATAATATAATATGATATTATCACCATGCTTGATTACGAGGGCACTGCGTTTTGAAGTAGAATAAGATATTTTATTATTAACTGTATAATTAACAAATAATAATAAATCTTAACGTTAAACTGCAAACAAAAACTTAAAAGATAATTTAATTTGTAAACTTTACCCTGTATAAACATATCTTTAGCACTCTTTAAACTATTTCAAAACCCCCGTATGCTCCAAGCACACGGATTCCTCTTGCATCGGGTACCCGCTGTGATGTGCTGCTCACCCCATGGTGCAGCGGGTACGCGATACTAGAGGAAACTGCTGCCAGAAGGACTTGGGTGTTTTCGCGTTTATTCAAGAGTGGCACTTCTATGTGTTGCGTGTTTGGTGATAGCACTCTGTGTTCGATAGTTAAGGTTGATTTAGCCTGGCTTTTAAATTAAATTACGTTACGTTAGATTACGTTACACAAAATGCTGGCTAAATCCACATTTAGATAGTGTTAATTTTTCTGTTTGTTTTAAGGTATTTCTGAAATTTTAATATTAAACTAATTACAATAAACCAGCAGTACATCTAACATACCTACAAATACAGAAAATTAAAGTTGAATTAATTTTTTTTTAATTCTTACTAATGACATCTTGCAGAAAAACGCACTTATAAGTCCTAACACTTTTTATTTACATTATATTTGTTATGTTTGTATGTTATTTATGTTTTATATTTATTTTTTAATGATAAAAAGTATTCTAATTCATAGGGAATAATTAGGTTATAATGCTCGGGCGCCCTTAAGCTAACAGTTTGGGGTGGCTCTAATAAGCTTTTTTAAAATTTGCCCCGGGCCCCGTAAGTATAGTATCTAGTTAGAGGAGCCAAATTTTTAAGTGCCTAAGGCGCTCAATTGCCTTAAGCCGGCTGTTATTTGCTCAATTAATTACTATTAAACCAAAATAGAAAAACATTTTGCCTAAATGTCAAAGAATTTATTGCGTTAAATGTATACATAGAATATATACTATGTATACATACTATGGTAACGTTATTAAATAAATCAAATTAGTATTTAATGCAATAACATTCTAACAAATAAAAATCAATATAAATATCAATAGATTTAGGAGCGATATCTTTTGTTATTAAGTTAAAAACAGTAAACGATTATAAACCAAGTATAAACTACCTATTGGTATTAGGGGTAGAACGATACTGATATTGTTTCCTATTATCGGTATCGTATCGTATCGGCAAAAAAAAATTGCGATTTTCACTCTTCAGTGCATAAATGAAATACTTTATTAAACAAAATAAAAATTTTTATTCTAAAGGTAACATTTTTACTAAAAAAGTAAAACAAATCCTAACACTACTTACAACAAATATACCTTATGTAGCAGGTACAAAATACAGTATATACTTAATACTTAAAATTTAATTTCTTGATATTAAGATGCAAAAACACCAACATTTCAGCCCTATCTGCATTTAGTCTATTTCTTTTAGGCTCGTAAATATTAAATATTATATTGTTTTAATGCATTTCTGCCAGAAATGCATTAAAACAAAACAAACGAATTCGATAAAAATAAAACCTATAAATTCTCAATCCCTACCACAGTGGGAGGGGTTTGGCACTTGTTTTATTGTAGTAAGTGTAGTAAGTGTATCTATTCGTTTTAATACACACTGTATAAGGGGCTTCCCAGAAATCCGAAATGTCACTTACTACCAATCACAAACGTTTCCTCGCAACGGAATTAAAACGGGACTTCCCCGATTTTTGCTTCGGTCGTGTATAAATAGATGGCATTATGTTTGCCGATACGATATATCGGTATATCGGCACGTAAATATCGGTATCGGCCGATATATCGTATCGGCAAAAAAAGTGATATCGTTCTATCCCTAATTGGTATTGTTATTCAGGAATACGGATTACAAGATCCCATTGGTTTAATGGCTCACCCATTCATGATATGCTAGAGTTTTTTCTTTGTATGTATAGAAGAAAAAAATAAAAAAGACTTTTTAAAATTAAAATTTGCCTAAAAAGATAATTTAAAGTTTTGAATTTTTAATACAAACTGTCAAAAAATACATCTGTAAACCATGTTAACCTCAGCTAGCTACTTTATTTAAATTCAATTGAATTGTTCCTGACAATATTTTTAAGGTGGGTAATATTTAAGCTAACCACGTCAAAATCTGTTGTCAGATTTTTTTATACTCTCAATTGCAATTTTTGAGACATTGCCAACATTTTCAGCAAAAATTAAAAAATTTCCCAAACATAACTTAAGCCTTACCCTTAAAACCGTTTTATTTATTTTATAAAATCAAAAAATGGAAAAAAAAAATTTCCTATGATTGCTAGTCGCATTTCATATGGCGTATTTGCTAGGCAAAACATGAATGACAAGTGACGTTTCTGTGTGAAAAGTGACAGGCGGGCTATCCTCGACTTCACTCGCATTGCTCGTATGCGAACCAAAAACGAGTGGTTTATTTGCGAATAGTTTTATGAAATGGTATTCTTGACAACCGTTCGCAAACAAAAGCGTACACGATAAAATTAAGCGAGTGATAGATCTGACAACGCAGCATTTACTAGAGTGTTTTTGGTATTTTTATTTTTTTGTATTGGTATTACCTTGAAGTTTGTGTAAATTTGAAATTTGTGTTTGTTACCAATATTTTGTTTTGTGTGAAAATATTAATTATTAAATAAAGAAATGGAAAGAAAAGGAAACATTACAGAAAATCAAAAAAAGATAATCATTGAGTATATGTAGATTTCCAAACGATTTATTAGGTATTGAGTTAATTCTTTCGTCAAACGAAATACTTTAATAAAATGTAAGTCCGTTAAGTCTTCGAATGGATCTATTCGCTGCCTATAACGACGTCTTTGCCTTGCCTCCACATTTTCTAACACATTTATTAAAATTATCTGAATTAATTCATCCATATTCACAATGGAAGGTTATGTGACATAACTTATGTCAAAAGTTTGAATAAAACGAACACTTATCGACGAAAACGAATACAAATTCCGCTCGCTGTAAATCATTCGCTTTTAATGCGCATACGCAGCATGTGCGAGTGGCCAAGAATAAGAAACTAGATATTCGAACGCAAAAGCGTATGCGATTTTCAAACTCACTTGTCAAGGATAGCACCCCAGGCGGGCTATCCTCGACTTCACTCGCATTGCTCGTATGCGAACCAAAAACGAGTGGTTTATTTGCGAATAGTTTTATGAAATGGTATTCTTGACAACCGTTCGCAAACAAAAGCGTACACGATAAAATTAAGCGAGTGATAGATCTGACAACGCAGCATTTACTAGAGTGTTTTTGGTATTTTTATTTTTTTGTATTGGTATTACCTTGAAGTTTGTGTAAATTTGAAATTTGTGTTTGTTACCAATATTTTGTTTTGTGTGAAAATATTAATTATTAAATAAAGAAATGGAAAGAAAAGGAAACATTACAGAAAATCAAAAAAAGATAATCATTGAGTATATGTAGATTTCCAAACGATTTATTAGGTATTGAGTTAATTCTTTCGTCAAACGAAATACTTTAATAAAATGTAAGTCCGTTAAGTCTTCGAATGGATCTATTCGCTGCCTATAACGACGTCTTTGCCTTGCCTCCACATTTTCTAACACATTTATTAAAATTATCTGAATTAATTCATCCATATTCACAATGGAAGGTTATGTGACATAACTTATGTCAAAAGTTTGAATAAAACGAACACTTATCGACGAAAACGAATACAAATTCCGCTCGCTGTAAATCATTCGCTTTTAATGCGCATACGCAGCATGTGCGAGTGGCCAAGAATAAGAAACTAGATATTCGAACGCAAAAGCGTATGCGATTTTCAAACTCACTTGTCAAGGATAGCACCCCAGGTCTGTGCAGTGGCGGATTTACAAATGTGCCTATAGGCTAAACCAAATGGCGGCGGCCCACAAATAGAAAAAATTGCTAAACAAATATATATAATAGATTTCAGGCGGAAAGACTAAGGTCGTTAGCCTTTTGGAGTAATCCAATAAAGTTTATTTTATTATTATTATTAATAGATTTCAAATTTAATTATTTGAACAAACCATAGACAAGTAGCAAATTTAGCAGGTCTCTCGATTCGGTCTAGAGACTGTTTTTTACAATTCTTACCGTGTATCATTGTTGCTACACATTAATAATTGTATATGTTAAAATTTATGAACATTTTTTTAAACAAAATTCCATTAATTTAAAGGTATGTAATAATTAATAATTGATATTTTGTAAACTAGATAACTTAATTTTTATTGTTTTTTAAAAATGTATGTTAAAACTTGTAAATAATACCATAAAATTGTAAACAAAAATCCAATATGGAGGCTAAAATTTAATCGCTAATAAAAAGTTCTAGTATTTTCATCGCTTATATAAGCTAAATTTATTTAAAAGTTAAAGGCTTATCATTTTATTTTTCAACCGTTATCATTTTATTATTCAATCATTTCTTAATCAATGTTTCAACCCTCTAAATCAGCATGGATATTTTTTGACACGAAAATACCTTAAGGGATTAATAAATATAGCACCAAAAAAAATAAAAATCGATTTTCACAAATTACAAAAATTTAGGGTAGTGTTATTTTACTCACCGTTTCACCTCTTTCTTTTGACACTGTTCGTTTATCAGACATATCACACTTATTACCGAGTATCATTTTTTCTACATCTTCATTTGCATGCTAAAATTAAATTAATTTTATGAAAATTTATAATTATACAAATATAAATTGTTTACTAACCTCATCTATGTTTCTTAACCATTTAACTATGTTCTCAAAACTTTTTTCATTGGTAATATCATAAACTAACATTATGCCCATGGCCCCCCTGTAATAGGATGTGGTAATTGTGTGAAATCTTTCTTGGCCGGCTGTATCCCATATTTGCAATTTAATTTTTTTGCCACCTAATTCTACGGTTTTTATTTTAAAATCTATACCTGAAAAATAAAACATTTTTTAAATTTGGCGCCTTCCTATGACCTCACCCTCTATTTATAAATTTCAGAGTATTCGATCAAAGCGTTATCGTTGGATATGTTTTATTTTAAGCTAAATTAAACGACAAAGATAAAATAAACTATTTCCTGTGAATTAGATTTACTTACCTATAGTTGAAATAAAAGTTGTCGTAAAGGCATCATCTGAGAAACGGAACAAAATACACGTTTTACCTACGCCAGAATCTCCTATTAACAACAATTTAAATAACAAGTCATATGTCTTTTTTGCCATTTCGTACTTGTATCACTTTTGACGTTTAATTATAAAACATTAGTCACGGATAACAAAGGGACTTTTTGTGGTTATTGGCAAAACTGAATAAAACTGGAAAATAGCTAACCAGTACCAACCTAATAAATGCGACGTTGTCACGTTTATTAAAAATCGCGATTTTAAAGAATAAAACACAACTTTAACTTAAATCTTTATTTAAATGTGTTTGTTAATTTTATTGGACAATACATTAACCATATTCCAAAGGCGGGACCTCTAAATTATCTTCAAAAGTAGGTTTATGGTCTACAATTTTGCTAAAATCCAAATCTATACTAGGTTCAACTTCCAAATAGTTATTTCTGAAAAATATAATATTATTATTTATTATAGGTACTTTACAAATAAACTTACTTTTTATCTACAACTTTTTTTTCTGGAAGTGATTTCTGTTTATTTTGCGTTAACGGCTTTTTGTAATTTGCTTTTGGCATTGTTAAAACTAAATGACCCGTTATTTGAGAACGAAGAGCTGTGCTTTTATGAGTTATCACTTCCTCTGCAAATACAATTTGAAAAACTTTTCCTTTTATTGTAATTTTTACATATATTGGCTGTAGATCTACATCAATTAAATTGGTATCAAGATGTCTAAAAAATATAAGCTTTGAATTGTTATACCTATATAGGTATAACAATTCAAAGTTATAACAAATAAAATTTAGCTCACGCTTTTGGTTTCTTCTGACCAAAAATAGAAATAAACTTTTCTTATTTATCTAACTAAGGGGCGCGCCGAACCAATCAGAAGCGTATTTATTAATACTATCAGTGGCGGACATATAATCGGGCAGTTCGGTGCAGTGCCCGGGGGCCCCGGTCATATAGGGGCCCCCAGACATAAAGAAAATTCTAAATTATACATTAATAATAATTATTAATACACCATTTCACGCCTACTAAATTATTGAGAACCACGCCACCTATTAGTAAAGCTCGAAAACAAGGCGTATACTCTATGCGATGCGCAGAAAACTAACTTTCGACCTTGGTGTTACATTTATGTGCCTTGTTTTCGAGCTGTACTGATAGGTGGCGTGGCTCTCAATAGTTATAAATAAGACAATTGCGATTGGTCGGCCACGTATGTGCAGTAACAAACCGCGCAGTAAAGAATCTTGATCGTTGACGCATCATTGACAATTAAGAATTAGACAAGTCGTTTCGAATTCAAATATTTGGTAATTAATCAAGAAAAAAAGAAATAGTTGTTGGTTTTTATAATTAGGTAATTCCTTAATATAAATAATAACAAATACCTACGGTGTTTTTTAACTACATAGGACAATAGAGGTAGGTAATCCGATAAATATTTTAGCACTATGTGCATACTTACATTTTTTAATTTGTATTTAAGTTTTTGCCGCAAAAATAAATTTAATACCTATAGTAAGGTATGGACAAGCGCAAATATAAAAGTGGAGCCGAAAAACGTAAATTAAAACTAGAAAATTTTGTTAAAGCTAAAAAATTGCCCAAGATCGATACATTCTTTAACCAGCAAAATGCCCCTGGGCAGAGCTCAAGTCGTTTGTCTTCATCGAAAGAATTTGAATGTCCAATCACCAATATCCAATCAGAAATATACAATCACCAATTAATATTACAAAACATACCTCTCGTTGGAACACAAGTTAATAATATTAGTTCAGACAACGAATCAGAATATTTAGATCACATTTCTACCCCAAATATCCGTGAAAAGTCTACAGATATAGGACATTATAAAAATAAAGAATTGTTTGATGATGATAAGCGATTTATAATTAGTCAGCCTCCCAACAAACCTAAAGGGCCATACCCAAAAGATCCAACACAAGGAAATAGATGCTTTAGCGAAACGTATTACTCATCAGTAACAAAATATGGTGTAGTTCCGCGGCTCTGCTACTCAAACGTTCTAGACGCTGCGTATTGCGTTCCTTGCTGGTTGTTTTCTTCTGGTAATAATCAGTGGCGAAGTGGATTGAGAGATTGGCAGCACCTTTCTTCTAGAAAAGTTGAGCATGGTAATACTCTAGAACATCTCCAGTCATGCAGTATTTTTGAATTATGGAAAAAAAACCAAACCGTTCATAAAGAGCTAGAAGAAAAAGCAAGATACGAAGTTTTGTTTTGGAAACAGGTTTTAGAAAGACTATTTCGTATTACTTTAGTTTTAGCTAAGAATTCTTTAGCTTTCCGTGGTCATCGTGAAGTACTTGGAAACGAAAACTTAAACGGCAATTTTTTCACTATGGTAGAGTTATTAGCGCATTATGATGATGTGATGAAACAAGTCATATCAATGCCTTCAGGTTCAGTGCGTTATTTAAGTAAAACAATTCAAAATGAAATTATTCAGTGTTTTTCTAAATTTGCTTTAGAAAAAATTATTTCAAATATAAGTTCAGCTCCTTTTTTTTCTCTTATGCTAGACACAACGCAAGTTATAGCCAAAAAAGATCAGTTAAGCATTATAATAAGAACAGTTCACATAATTAGAGATTTGAATAACATAGCGACAAGTTTTGAAATAAAGGAAAACTTTTTAGGGTTTTATGAATTAAAAGATCAATCTGCTCAAGGTATGTCTGAAAAAATTTTAAGTATATTAAAAGATCTAAATATTCCTCTGAGTAATTGTTATGGTCAAGGGTATGATGGTGCCAATGTAATGAGCGGTGCTTATAATGGCGTACAAGCCAAAATTAAACGAATACAGCCAAATGCAGATTACTTGCATTGTGCTGTGCACAATCTTAATTTGGTAGTGAATGATGCACTATTAGGTTGTAGTGAAATTTCTGCATATTTTGCAGTACTGCAAAATCTATATAGTTTTTTTGGACTAAGTATTAAACGATGGGATATTTTATCATCGTTCACCGGAGAGTCAGAAATAACTTAAAAAAAACTCAATCCGACGCGATGGTCAGGGCGAATACAATCAGTTTTAGCAGTTAAATTGCGTTATTTCGACATTTTTAAGGCTCTAACTGAGATTGAATTAAAATCTCTTAAAAAAGATGAAATTGCGGAAGCCTCTTCTTTAAAAAAAAAATTAATAATTTTGAATTTATTTTTATCACAGTTTTTATGTTTAGAGTTCTGAATACAATTAATTTTATATCCAAAACTTTACAAAAAAATGATATTGATTTGGATCAAGCAACAAAAGGTTTAGATCGTGCACGTACAAATATATCTAATTTCAGAGACGCACAAACTTATAATAATATAAAATCTGAAGCCATAGATATGGCCATTAAATGGGGCATTGGTCAGTCATTTCAAGCAAAGAGGCAACCAAAAGTGAAAAAGCACTTTGATGAACTTTCTTTTGACCATCGTTTTGAAAACAGAGAAGAATATTTTAAAGTTAATGTTTATAACTTTGTTATTGACATCATTTGCAACCAGATTTCTAGGAGATTTTCTGCCATGTTCAATATTAAACAAAATTTTAATTTTTTGGAAACCTCGTATTTAATTAAAAGCTCAAAAGAAGAAATTTTACAAAGATGTGAAAAATTGACCCAAAAATATCCGAATGTGTTGACTAATTGTTTTGCAAATCAGTTTCATATGTTGCTTGATTTAATGAAACCTGACCTTAACGAAGGTATGTCAATAAGAGATCTTTTTGAATTTATTATTAAGAACTTTGCCTGTATGGAAGCAGACTTTTGCGAGGTTTATACAGTTTTTATGCTATTTTTTACTCTTCCTGTAACGGTGGCCTCTTTGGAACGATCTTTTAGTAAACTAAAAATATTAAAAAAATATTTAAGATCTACGACAAGTGAGCAGCGATTGCGAGATTTGTCAATATTGTCTGTAGAATATGAAATTGCATCCAACTTGGATATAACTAACCTAATAGATCGCTTTGCAAATGATAAAGTTAGAAAAAGGGTATTTTAAAAATTTAGTTATTTATAGGTGATAATATATTCTACAGACAGTATTGATACATCTCTATAGGTGTTCCTTATATGTTCTTCTGTTTTGTAAAATGTTTAAAAAATATATATATTTTCTATTAAATTAAATAGTCAAATTATTTGTGTATAAAGTAATTTTAAAAGGGTTAGTAATGTTCGTCTTAAAGGGAAGGGTACAGGGGCCTCAAGTATGATTTGCACCGAGGCCCCGGTCTGCCTAGATCCGCCACTGAATACTATAGTATAATTATTATACTATTATCGATCGACGTAATTTTTATTATCATAATATACCTATTATGTCATAATTATGATAATAAAAATTACGTCGATCGACGTCATTTTTTTTGTTCACTTCCCTAATAACACAAGTATATACTAGAAACATGCCAGAAACATATGCATGCGACAATAGAAACATCCCAGGAATGACCCTATTTTCCCACAGATATACCAGAAATGTTTCTGGCAATGACCATGTCGCCCTTTTTAACGTCCCTCGGCCATCCTTTTGGGATGTTTTGAGATCATCTTAGAATGTTGTAGGTATGTCTTTAAGACATTTTATATTTACTTTCAGAACATAACAGAAATGTTTCATACAAAACATTTATGAAATTTTTATAGGTTTTTTCCTTAAATAAAAAACATTAAATACTTTTATCATTTAATTAACATAAAACCATTAACATAACTGAAAATACGCATAAATAAAAATAAATAGATAAAAATTTACAAAACTCTTCATCGATGAATCCGCAAAAACTCGTTTGAGACATTTTTGACAAAATCGATTTTTTTTGCATAATTAAGTACTTACCTCATATCTACCCATACAACGAAGACTATTGTAACTCAGTTTTGATTGTAGACCAGAGTAACTCAACTTAGTTTTCGCCTGTAGGAATGTGGATTATTACACTTACTATACAGGGAAGTTGTTCACTGGTTGCCTATCGTTTCATGTCTGAGTTACTGTAATCTTCCACCAAATAGAGCTTGAAAAAATCTGTTGATGCCATATAGTAAGTCAAAACCCACGTTTTTTGAGTTACTATAGTCTTCGTTGCATGGGTCGATATAATAATGCACATGATTGTAAAACCTCTTATCTCCCAAGATAATCTCAAGACCCTTAAAAACAAATTAATTTGTCCTATAGGTATATTTAAAAAAAGCCAGATATGAGAGCTTTTAATGTTTTTTTCGTCTCCTGTAAAACTACAGTTTTTTTCATACGAGGTTTTGCGGATTCGACGAGTTATTACCTAAAACAGCTTTAGAAATCTTGGATTGGCTAAAATCTTTTTTGCCCTTTTTCCCAATAAAGGAAAACTGTTGTGCGACCTGGTCTGAAATAAAATCATACAGGTTATTGCCACCAATACCCACAAAAAATAAAACCTTAAAAAAGAAACTAATATAGAATTTAATTATAATAATATTTATAATGTTTTCTTACCAAATCATCATAATTTACTTACCAAAAAAGACGCCTCAGGCCACCCACACAAAACAATAACTTAAAGTGTACAACTTAAAATTTAATTTAATTTAATTTAATTAAGTCTTAAATTACTGTGATCACATTATAAAACGAGAAGAAAATTCTCGACACAGAACGTTCTCGATTTTCACGAAATGTCATTCTTGGCAATAAACACTGGCAATAAAAGCCGCGAACCTACAGAGATGCCGTTGGTTACAAAACAAAATTCCCCAGGTAACAATCAATTAAAAAATATCTAGTATGACGACATTGTTCGCGGTCAATTTAAAAATTACAAAGTTATTGATATTATAAGAATTTGGTGGTTTTGATAAATTGATAGGTTATTTTTTTTTATTAAAGTGTGTTTTGATCATATATCTATAGTAAATTTAAAAGTAAACTACGTACACGTCATCAATAAAACAAAAATTTTACGCATTGGTACCAACACTAAATGACTAAATCGAAGTCTGTAATTGAATATTTGAATGCATTTTAACCAAATTAAGTTGGCAACAATTGTGATGTTGTCATGTTTACATTCAAATTTTTCATATTTAAATGACACATAAAAAAGAATTTGACGTTTTAGAATTTCGAAGCTGTCAGTTGTGTTTTTGAATATTTCGTTTAATTCGTGTATTATTTCGTGTATTTTGTTTGTTGTTTGTGTTATTTTATATCGTTTAAGTTTTCATTGCCGTTTTTGTGTTTGTTATATATCGTTTTTTTGTGTTTCCTATATTTAAAATGCCGAAGCATTTAAATAGTCGGAGTCAAGAGTTGGTGTCATCCTTAATACGCTATTTTGAGGCAGAACGGGATAATAATGGACCTTTGTTACCTTTAACAGCTGTTAGAGAGGTAAATAGGATTATTATTAATTATATATTAGAATATTTAACAAAATATATGTTGGATACATGAAATAATAATACCAGAGACTGACTTTAGATGGCAAAATTTTTGGGTTTTATATCAGAAAATGTCTTTAAAAATGGCTAAAAACACACTTTTGGCGGTGCATCATATAGGTTATAAAAACTCAGACTTTTGACATTTTGGTATTATTCATGTAAACGCCATCTATCGCCCTGTAGTTGCACTACCACTTTCCCTTGATGCAAGGATTTTAGCATCACATTGACAACCGTGCCCGATCAGCTGATTGATGACGTGTACGTAGTTTACTTTTAAATTTACTATATAATAATTTGGTGTTTTGCTAAAAATTGATTGGTTATTTTTTTAATAGTGTGTTATGTGTTTTGATATAAATTTATTTTATATTTGTACCAATATCAGCTATTTAAAATGTTTATGCAACATCTTGGGGAAATCACACCAGAAATGTTACTGAGGAAACATCGCAGGGATATACGATTTAAGTCCGAAACATTGGGGCATAAATAGTACATAAATTGTATGTTTCTGGCATGTATTGTGTTATCTGGGATTTCGGCACTTAAGTAAAATTTTACTTAATAAAGTGTATTAAAACATAGCCTTTAAGAAAAAAGAAAATAGTCCACATGTGAATTTGCAAATTTACCGTTTTTAAGATACAGGGTTTCAAAATATGTTTTTTTACGATATCTCAGAAACCGTTTAAGATACAGGACTCAGCTTTTGTACAAATCTTAATGATAAGGCCGACTGTTTGCCGAGCGTTTAGTGCTTACTGGGTAATATTAATATTACCCAGTAAGCACTAAACGCTCGGCAAACAGTCGGCCTTCGCTCGGCCTAGGCGGCTGACCGGCAGTTCGGCTTGCCCCAGCCGGCCCGTTTACGGTACCCCCGGTACCGTTTAGCCATTTTCTAACCGAAGTCGGCCAGAATAAGGCACGCCGCTGCAAAATCCTTCGGTTTGCCCTAGCCGGCCCGTAATGAATTCGCTGGCCGAGTGGCAATTTGACTCACAAGCTAAGTAAATGTGTAACAGTGTGATCGTTCACAATGAAATTCGACGTTAAAGTGGAAGTTGAAGTGGGCAAAATTTCTTGCAAGCTGCAAACTTCGACTTCAACTTTCGTGCCGGCTATGCGACATGCGCATTGCCTTTGTTATGAAGGTTTGACATTTTCAATGGCGTTGAGTTTTGTGTGTGTAGTGTTTTTAATGTGATTAAATACATTTTTCTTGCTATATTTAAATAAACTACCCATTGTTAATGTAAATGTATGTATGTATGTATGTAACTTAACCCATACAGCACAAGATGTCCATTGGACGTCCAATGGACTTACATTGGACGTTTGGATGTCCAATGTAAGTCCATTGGACGTCCAATGGACATCTTGTGCTGTATGGGAATGTATACTAGTTTTTTATTATTATTATTATTATTTATTATAAAGAGAACATTAGTGTTTTGTAACACATTTTAATAAGAATGTATCACTAAATAAACTATTACACAACATAAGTAAACTATTTGATTGATTGTTGTCCATTTTTGCATTTAAAAAATAACAACAAGCAAAAACAAAATAATGCAAATTCTAACCTTACAAAGAACATGACAGTTAACTACCAACGCCCATGCGTTAAATTCGACTCTAAAGTTATTGTGAATGGTAAATTTCGTGCCGACTTGCGTGCCAAAGTGTCACTTGGCCAGCGAATTCATTACGAATGTAGCTTAATGTCTAGCTAGTCGAGTGTGTTAAAGAAGTATCTTGCCATTCAGAGAATTTCAGGACTGAACTTATAGGATATACCTCTCCAGAACGTCTGTAGGCTTTTTTTGAATGGCCAGGTGGTTGTGGCCGGCACTCGGCCAACTATACGCAGCCGACACTCGGCGGAGTAAACATAGCCGACATTCGGCCAGGCGGAAATGCCTGACAGTTGGCCAGGCGGACATGCCAGTTCTACACGCCGGAAGAAATACGTGTATCGGGCCGCACGCGGCCGATTCGGCAAAACGTATTCGGGCCGTATGCGGGCCGGCTAGCTTGTGCTTACTGGGTAGCTACTGTTTGAGCCCTAATTAATTTTTTTTCACATGCCAGTGACGGAGATTTTAGGGTTGCTTGAGTTTTTTTTTAATTGCTATGACTACTTTGAGGAATTAGAGGAAAAAAATTTTACCTAACCCAAAAATCTCCGTCACTAACATAACAAAAATTAAGCGCTTAAAAAGTATCTATGTAATATTAATGATAATTATCTTAAGAGGTTTTAAAGTTGAGTATTGTATCTTACACAGTTCCTAAGATCTCCCAAGCAGCATTTTTGGTTCCAAAAACCATTACCAAAGTGGTGATAACTTTAAACACCCAGTAAGCACAAGCTAGCCGGCCCTCATACGGCCCGAATACGTTTTGCCGCATCGGCCGCGTGCGGCCCGACACATGTATTTGTTCCGGCGTGTAGACCTTGCATGTCCGCCTGGCCGAATGTCGGCTATGTTTACTCGGCCGAGTGTCGGCTGTGTATAGTTGGCCGAGTGCCGGCCACAACCACCTGACAATTTAAAAAAAGCCTTCAGACGTCCTGGATAGGTATATCCTATAGGTACCTATACCTATAAACGTTTAACAAATTCGACTATAGCTAGCCATTATTCGTTACTGAGCATATGAGGATGGAGATGGGGACTTCAAACAATTAATGTTCAGCTATGCCATTACAGACGCACACTTCCAACTAAATATTGCAACCCATCGCTATTTATAGTTCGCTTGCGTAAGCAGCCGTGAGATGTATTCCGGCCGTAAGCGGGCCGGCTACGACAAGCCGAACGATTTTGCAGCGGCATGCCGTATTCTGGCTGACTTTGGTTAGAACATGGCCAAACGGTACCGGGCTAACATAACGCGGGCCATAAGCGGGACGACTGGGGGCAAGCCGAACCGCCGGTCAACCGCCTATGCTGAGCGAAGGCCGACTGTTTGCCGAGTGTTTGGTGCTTACTGGGCAGGTACTTTAATTTTAAAAAAAATTATACAGGGTGTTTTCAATATCTTTGAATTTTGACCTGATACAGCTAAACCAAGCACGGATTTATAACCTACGACCAAAAATTAAGTTTAGATGTCCTAGCGTTTAGCTGTGATATTTTCACCTCCCTACAGTGTAATTAAATAAAAAATTAATAATAATTATTAAGATTTTTTATTTATAAACATTATTAAATAAATAATTTGTTTTTACTTAAATATCGATAAAGCGCATTTATTTTACAAAAACTAAATTCATAAGTTTAACAGTAAAATTTAAAGGGTTTATAAATTTACCTGCCTAATTAAACATTATATTGTTTTTCTGAAAGTTATAAACTACCACTACCTACATATTTAATAAACGACGACATTGAAAAGCCAAGTGACTTGGCCCAAGTCCTTAGTGGTTCCATTTAAAAAAGGAGGGATAGTATAATCTAATATAAGTTTGACAAAGATAGTTAATATAGAAGTAAAAACAAATAAATAAAAGTAATTATAACGCTCTATCAACGATATTGAAACGTTCTAGTAACGTAGCAGCTACGTTACAAATAGTAGCAGGGTTTATAGCTAGTGACATATTTGCTACCTTTTTGTAACTCAATAATTGTTCCCCACTTTAGTCGTAACTTGGTAATGAAAGAGTAATATAAAGAGACCGCCGACGTCGCAAAACACTTTAAAGTTTCTTCAATAGTCCCATATACATAACAAATACTTAAATTGTTGCTTGGGCTGTAAAAACAATAAAAAAAATCATTTTTGACGCCCATGGGCGTCAAAAATGATTTTTTTTCTTATAAGAATTGACACATGTTTTGAAACACCCTGTATATTAAAATAGTGGGCATCAGTGGCGGATTGTGGATTTTGGTTATACCGATATCTCAGTTAGTACCCATGGGCATGGGACCAACACCAAACTTATATGAGTTTATATTTAAATAAACTTTATTTTAAATTCTGCTTGCGCAGAAATTGTATATTTAATGTCATTATAAACTCATATAAGTTTGGTGTGGGTCTCATGTCTACTAACTAAGATATAGGTATATCCACCAGTGGCGGATTGTAGATTTTGGACATATATGTCTATGGAGAAAATCATTTGGGTCCCCTGAAAACTTTTTTTTAAGAATTCTAAAGAAGAGATATAATATCCGAATTTTTGGCATGCAGATAAAACTAAAAATAATTTTATGAATAATAAAATACTTGTAGACAGCAACATCCAGTAGATATTTTTCAGGATCGTCCATATCAAAAGTAAAGTCTAGTTTAGCTTGATTACAATTTAAAGGCCTTCCATTTTTACTAAAACATCTATATTCTTTTTTTGGTGGCGCTTTCTCTGGATTATTTTTTAATTCTTTATTCTTTTGCGTTCTTTTTGCAATTTCCACCCTGGTTTCCGGTGAATTTTCTGTCGATGTTTTCCAAAACGTTTCATTATCTAAATCGTATAAATTACTATTTGCTAAACGCCTTTTTTGCTCTTCTCTAAATACATAGTATTTTTCTTGGAATGTTTTTATTTTTGGTTCAACTGATGGAAATATTTGCTGAGCCTAGTGTGGAATATAAACATAATATGTTATATATTATATTCTATATAAAATTGAATGTACTATGCAACAACTTAAGTTTGTTACAATATTTAAATACTTTAAGCTTTGGTAAAGGGACACATTTTTTATGAATGTAAAATTCATTGAATTGTCAAAGATTATGTTGAAAAAATACTTCACTATAAAAAAGTTCATTTTATAGCAATTGAAAACTAGAAAACCTTATATTTACATTATATGCAAACATGAAAAATCAATAAAATCAATAAAATTTGTGACCCTAATATTGCTTAATTTTATTAACTATACGGCCATTTCAAGTGCGCGAAACCCACGAATTACAAAACTGTTTTTATAAAAAAAATTGTAGTTTATTTATTATACAAAAATATTTTAATATTTTGGCATCAAAATTGTTAAAAATATTCTTCTTTTATTAGGTTACCTATACCATTGAGAAACAAACACATGGGTTATATATTAAATAAAAAAAAACGCAAGAAATATTTTAAAAATGTAAAGATAATTTTAATATTTGAAAGGTGTGGACGGGACAAAAAAAAGATTTATCTTGTCCCGTCCACATTATTGAAAGTACCTATCTCTTACTATTACCTTTATAAAATATCTTACCTTTATAAAATATTTCTTGCGATTTTTTTAATTTAATGTATAACCTAATAAAAGAAGAATATATTTGACAATTTTGATGTAAAAATAATATATAATAAAGTACCTACAATCTTTTTATAAAAACAGTTTTGTTATTTGTCCCATCCGTACGCTTGAAATGGCCGGATACTACCTTAATTCTTTCACTTATGGTAATATCTTTTTGGTCCAAACTTTTTAATTGTGGTAAACAAGCTACAACATATTCTCTATAGCCATCAAAGTCACTGCAAGGATTTCCAGTCAAATATAATTCCTTTAAATGAGTATTGTTCTTAAGTGAATTAACACTTTCAAGGTTTCCAATAAAGTTCAGAGTTAGATCTAGTTTTGTTAGATATTCGCATTTTTCCAAATTTTCTATGCATTCTATGTTATTTATGGCTAGGTTAAGATATTCTAGTTTTTTAAGTTTATGTAGATTTTCTAAAAAAAAAACAAATAGATTTTTTTTATTATGCACATTCTTTACCTATTTTCGAAATTATATTTGCCTGCAAATAAAGAATTTGTAATTCTTTACACCAATTTCCAACATTCTCTATTTTTTCTACATCTTCCTGATGGAGGGATAGTTCCTCCAAAGTACCAATAATACATTCATTGTGTTCAGATTTTTTTCTAATCAATTCTTCTGTAACTAAACATTTTGTTAATTAACAATATAATATTAATAAATAAGTGAAACACTTACTTCTAACCATTATGTTTTGACATTGAAATATTGGAAGTTTATTTGTTCCCATGGCTACAATAGATATTGATTATGCCCCTAGATTTATTTTATCTATGATTTTGCCATAATAATTGTGGATTATGCTAAAGGAAAAGATCCTGAACTGTGTATTAAAATTTAATAAAACTAATAATTTATTAAAGTGATATATTTTTATGCTAGCGTTTTAACAAATTATTACAACACAATATAATATACTTATTTACATATAAATTTTAATTTAATAAAACAATCAATCAACAAAATATTCAGCATGTGCTGATAGTCTTACATTTGGTAAAAATTACACAAAGCATAATATGGAATATTATAATATTATATAATCTAATATTCTTAACTGATATGAGAATATTAAAATATTTTTGTCTTTGGTAAAATATTTTGTTATTAATGGGGACATTTTACGTAATATTTACATATTTTACCAAAAACAAGTTGAAAGATGTTTAATAACATTTTAATTAACATTAACACTGATTTATATCAGTTAAGTATTAATTAAATACAATGAGAAACTCACAAAATTGTATTAACTTAATATGAATCCAATGAAGTCCAATTTGACTATAAATTAATTAAATTATAGGAGTATAATTTTACAGCCAATATGAAATAAATAATATATTATTTACACTTTTTAATAAGTACAGTTTTTATAGAAATTAATAAAGATATATGTTAATTTACATACATAATAACTGGATTATTTTAGGTTTTAAATTAACCAATTTAATGTATTGCAACTATGTGGTCTTAATAAACATTAAGTGAGAATATGAAAGAAATAATATAATATAATTGTATCTATACAACCTATAGGTTATTGTAGATGTTTAAAACATATTAATAATATTAATATGATATTATATACCTAAAGGTAATCCTTATTTATTATTATTGTTTATAAAATTATCACTAATTTTATTTAGCGATATTTTAGTAATTTAACGTTGAAATTTTGAAGTTATAAAATATATTTTAAACACCTAGTCTAAAATAACTTGAGTTTCTACAATTTATGAGACAATATTTATAAAAATCGAGATAAAAAATACATATATAAAGTTTATGTCCTGCAACAATATATATAGAAGTTGTGTAATTAGTTTTTGATTTCTATAGTTTTAATTATTAAATAATTGGAAACAATCTCCGAACACTGCGACAATAAGTCAAATTTCGCTTACAAATTATTTCTTTTGGCAAAGTAGTTGATGTTTCTCGTTCCAACTCTTTGCGAAAAGGTTTTTCATCTCAAAATAATTTATATTTATATGCAATAAAATTTAGTTTTTGGAGTCAATGTTCTTATACAAATTATTATTATTATTAAAATAAAGAAAAAGTAAAAAATGTAATCTTATAAACACTTGACCCTTAAAAATAAATTTAATTGCATCAATTAAAAAAAAAAATATTTTACAAAGAATCAGATTGAAAAACTTTAACTACTTTCATTTTTAAGCGAAAGTTGATGTATGTCAATTTACAATTAGTAACTAACACAACTCAAAAAACTTATACCATAGAAAAAAAATTCTAGATAATCTTGGAAAAAAATTCGAGCTAACTTTTACAAACCCAGCAAGGGTATACTTTCAGGAAAAATAATTTAATATGGTTTAAAATTTTGTGTTGCACTGTGTTAATAAATTTGAAATTTGATCAACACTATTAAATTAAATTTCGGAAATTTACGATTATGTCATCAGGCCAAGAAGTCTTTTTGTGATAAGCTCAAAGTTTGATACATAACACGTACAATTATTGAAAGTAGAAAGTGAGGTTAGATCGATCTGACAGAATTCGAATTTTTTTATTGGTCCAAAGTAGTAAATAACGAATTTTTAAGTGCATAGGCCATAATCAATCACGAGTGTTGACAACAATAAAGTTTAAATTGTAGACTAATTGAAAATGAAATAATATAATTCTATATTTTAAATGGAGTTGTTTTTTTATAGAACTGGGTAAACGTCATGTTTGCTTTTATATTATGAGTTTAACTTAAAAGTGTTTCAATTGCTGAACTGAGGTATAAATATTATTTATATTAATAAATTATATTTTATTATAAAATTATATTTAATAAATTTAGAGAAATTTAATTTCATATACTTTAAACTAATTTTTTTATTAATAAATAAAGAAAAAAAATTAAAACTTTTATTTAATTTAAATAAGCTGCCAATATTTTTACAAATTATCTAGAAAAAAAGATATAAAATGTCATTGGTGAATATATTTTCTTTTTGCTAAATAAAGAAAACTTTGTAACAATTTGTCACATTTTACCTTATTTTTTTTTACAAATACTTTAATAAAATGTAAGTAAAAAAATTAAAAAATTCAATTTTAAATCAAAATAATACAAATTTGATTTAGATATTGTTGCAGGACAGTATGAGTGCAAACCCCAACTTAAAACAGTTCAAAACCACCATATTCACATTGCACGCAATAAATCAAATTTTTAAAGTTTGTAACAAACAATCAGAACAAAACATTCTAACTTTTTTATTTAAGGTATTTAAATAACGTTGAGGAGAAAATCTCTCCTGCATACATACATTCTTCTTTGTCTTTTTTTATATCTTCGTCGGATTTGTCACCGTCGTCGTGGTGGCCGGCGGCAAATTTTCTGCGGCGGCTGCTCTTTCAGCCAAAAAGCGCTCGAATTCGCTGCTTGTCACAGATTCTTCAGCCCCAGTCTTAAAAAACAACATAAATATACAATGACATGTCTGTCGAAATAATAACAAGTTTTGTGCAAAAACGTTTGTTTTATCCTAAGTTATTTAATAAATTTAAAAACGAACTTTAAACTTTTGTATAAAGGTAAATTTAGTTATATCTCATTATTCTGGTCTCAGGAATATGTGGTACAATTTTGTACAGGCATTTCAGGGACAACTTGTTATACAGTTTTACATTGCAATGTATCATAGAATAAATCGATGCTTGCAAAAAAACATCAACAACTCAAATGTTCAGAAAACGCAGTTAGTTTTTTATTAATATAAAAGTTTTTAAGATATATTAAAATTGTATGCCTTAATGTTTTGTTAAAAATACAGTTACTACAGTTAATACAATTTATACCCATTACAAGGCCGACAAAAATAAAATTTCTGTTTGGTGCATGGCAACCAACAACTTTTAAGAGTAACTTAGGTACGCTGAATCAAAAAATGAACATCATTTTGCGCAATCAGCTCTTGTTTTTGCGATGTAAAATAAAAACCATTTTTTCGATATGCGCACATTCAAATTCTTATATATATTTTTTAAACTTCTAATTTAAGCAAGGATAGTTGGTAATGTTGCTATGGGTCTTTATTAAACTAAAAAAAATACCATATTCATTAATAATGATTTTCTCTTTAAAAATCTTGCTTTAATCGAAAAAAATTGATTTTTTAGCCAAAATTCGGATATTTTTAAAATTCAAAGTGATACAGCATGATCAATTTTTGCCCGATTTAAATAAAATTTACCCTATTTGTAGCTCTATTTATCTACTTTATAGTGTTAAAATTTCAATGCAATCAAAAATTGAATGAGAGTAGTGCAGCCGTGCTAAGCTAAACCTCCGTATCTGCAATATTAAATAAAAGATCATTTTCATTGTTAAAAACAATAAAAACTATCTTTTGTCCTTTATTATTTAATATTGCAGATACGAGGGTTTAGCTTAGCAAGGCAGAGTATATGATAGTAGAGTATTGAGAGCAGTAGCAAATACTCTACTCATACTCTCATACACTAAAACGAATAGAAAAAAACAATAATATTTTGACATCTTATTAGACATACTTAAAATCAGGTCTAGGATCCTAGGCACAAAAATTGTCCACTTAAATAGGCTCTGTGAATATTAATAGCTATTTACGAGTTTATTTAAGTGGTACACATAGTACCCAAATTTGGTTTATTTTATTGCCATGTTGCCAATTTTTATTTGATTGCATTGAAAGTAGATAAATAGAGCTACAAATAGGGTAAATTTTATATAAATATATATATATATATATATATATATATATATCTATAAATATCCGAATTTTGGCTAAAAAATCAATTTCTTTCGATTAAAGCAAGATTTTTAAAGAGATAATCATTATTAATGTATATGGTATTTTTTTTAGTTTAATAAAGACCCATAGCAACATTACCAACTATCCTTGCTTAAATTAGAAGTTTAAAAAATATATATAAGAATTTGAAAATTTCCTAATTTTGGCTAAAAAATCGATTTTCTTTCGATGAAAGCAAGATTTTTAAAGAGAATGGTATTTTTGTTACAGTTTAATAAAGACCCATAGCAACATTCCCAACTATCCTTGCTTAAATTAGAAGTTTAAAAAAATATATTTAAGCATTTGAATGTGCGCAATTAAAAAGAAATGTTTTTTTTGTCTACATCTCAAAAACAAGAGCTGATTGAGCAAAATGATGGACATTTTTTGATTCGGCGTACTCAAATTACCCTAAAAAAGTTGTTGTCTACCCTGCACCAAAATGGCTGTCGGCCAGTGTTATCGTACATGTTTTCATGACACTAAGTGACCTTTTAAATACACATTGACAAGCAACAGGTTTTTAGTCACGGGCTGTCATACAATCGTTAAAATAAAGTGCCTTTCTTGTAAAATAAAACTAAATGTAAAAATTATTTTATTATCTCAATACAAAAGAATTGAATAGTTTCTTGACGCCAATATTTGAAAAGATTATATGAATGTTTGTTCTGACCACGGTCTTATATACAGGTCTTGCGACTTTAAGCTTCGAGGTGGCTTCCTTAACGTGCCAAGCCGCTAGGTGGCGCTAAGATCGAAGGGCAAAGTCAATTAAATGAACTACTTAGTTAAATGTGGAACTACTGCATAACCATAACCCAACTTTTTAAATTCTTTTTCTATGTTTTGTTTACATTTTCAAAAATTTAATATTTGTGAGTTTGTTTCGGATAATTTACGTTAACAAAATAGGACAACAAAGTCTATACTATATAACAAGAACAAATATAACAAGAAAAAATAGAACAATATAATATAACAATAACGAATATCACAATAACAATAAGTAAAAACTCCCTGTAACAAAATACACAAGCTTGTTTATAAAAAAGTAGATAAATAGAGCTACAAATAGGGTAAATTTTATATAAAAATATATATACAGGGTGTCCCACAATTAGTGCGACAAAATGAAGGTGTATTATCTACAGACCCCCAGGAATTCCAGAAAATTGTTTAAAAAATTCTTCCTTCATTATTTAAAAAGATACAGGGGAGTCATATTTTCTTTATATGGCAACATTGCCTCAAAAAAGGGGATAGTTTAATTCTTATAATTATGATTATAATCATCATGTTAACATTGTTTTTTGTTGTCATGATGATTAAAAATTAAACTATTACTTTGTTATGAGGCAATGTTGCCATACAAAGAAAACATGACTCCCCTGTATCTTTTTAAATAATGAAGGAAAAATTTTTTAAACAATTTTCTGGTATTCCTGGGGGTCTGTAGATAATACACCTTCATTTTGTCGCACTAATTGTGGGACACCCTGTATATATATATATATATATATATATATATAAATATCCGAATTTTGGCTAAAAAATCAATTTCTTTCGATTAAAGCAAGATTTTTAAAGAGATAATCATTATTAATGTATATGGTATTTTTTTTAGTTTAATAAAGACCCATAGCAACATTACCAACTATCCTTGCTTAAATTAGAAGTTTAAAAAATATATATAAGAATTTGAAAATTTCCTAATTTTGGCTAAAAAATCGATTTTCTTTCGATGAAAGCAAGATTTTTAAAGAGAATGGTATTTTTGTTACAGTTTAATAAAGACCCATAGCAACATTCCCAACTATCCTTGCTTAAATTAGAAGTTTAAAAAAATATATTTAAGCATTTGAATGTGCGCAATTAAAAAGAAATGTTTTTTTTGTCTACATCTCAAAAACAAGAGCTGATTGAGCAAAATGATGGACATTTTTTGATTCGGCGTACTCAAATTACCCTAAAAAAGTTGTTGTCTACCCTGCACCAAAATGGCTGTCGGCCAGTGTTATCGTACATGTTTTCATGACACTAAGTGACCTTTTAAATACACATTGACAAGCAACAGGTTTTTAGTCACGGGCTGTCATACAATCGTTAAAATAAAGTGCCTTTCTTGTAAAATAAAACTAAATGTAAAAATTATTTTATTATCTCAATACAAAAGAATTGAATAGTTTCTTGACGCCAATATTTGAAAAGATTATATGAATGTTTGTTCTGACCACGGTCTTATATACAGGTCTTGCGACTTTAAGCTTCGTGGTGGCTTCCTTAACGTGCCAAGCCGCTAGGTGGCGCTAAGATCGAAGGGCAAAGTCAATTAAATGAACTACTTAGTTAAATGTGGAACTACTGCATAACCATAACCCAACTTTTTAAATTCTTTTTCTATGTTTTGTTTACATTTTCAAAAATTTAATATTTGTGAGTTTGTTTCGGATAATTTACGTTAACAAAATAGGACAACAAAGTCTATACTATATAACAAGAACAAATATAACAAGAAAAAATAGAACAATATAATATAACAATAACGAATATCACAATAACAATAAGTAAAAACTCCCTGTAACAAAATACACAAGCTTGTTTATAAAAATGTAGGTTATGTTTCTTAACACAGAACATAAGTAGGTAGTTTATTTGACCTTTTATCCCATAGACTTTAAGGACTTAGAGCCGGTTTTACAATCGTTAGATTAAGTTAGCTTATTTGGCGGATAACTTTCATAGAAACCTATCTAAGAAAATTATCCAACAGAGAGCTCATCTAACGATTGTAAAACCCAAAGATAAAGAAGGTAAAAACGACCTTTAAACATCTATGGTTTATCCATAACTCGATGCGCCATCTGGTGGGTGTCTTATTAGAGAGGTCACTTTTCCTATTGAAATTGGGCGAAGTTGCAAGACCTGTATATAAGACCGTGGTTCTGACCTTTTGATTTCCCATAGTAGTGCAGTTAACTAGATTTAACTGATAAAGCGTTAACAATTTTGCATACAGTGCCCATAACACTCTCTTCCCTTTTACTTTGAAAAACTGTCTCTATATCGATTGTTATAAGAATATAACAGACTATAGTCTATTTTCAAGGTATAAATTTTGATTTACACAGAAAAATTTGAGATTTTAACGCCGGTAGATTCCCAAGTTAGAAATTCCAACAGGAATTCCAATAAATACAACTGTCACTTTTTGTACCTTTAACATTTCCTGTGTAGGAATTTTTAATACTGTGATAATATTTTGCAATTATAGTAATACAAAATATCAAAGGATACATATTTACATAGTTACTTATTTTGTAGTTATTTTAAAGTATCAATAATTGATAAGTTTAATTAAAATGATAACGGGCAATGTTAATGGTAAAAATTACGTCAAAAACTTTAATTGGGATTAATTTTTTTTGTATAGATGTCACTTTATACAAATATTTAATTTAAATCATTTTTTAGATAATATTCAGTATTTGTTGTAGAAAAAGTATAGTATGCAACTCGTTTATAAACTTTTCTAGGCACTCATTTAATTAGGCCTAAATTAAATTCGTGACTAAAATGACGTTTATCAAACTTGATACATAATATAGTATTACATAAAATAAGATACAATAATAATATTTTTTTAAGGAGTTTCTATAAAAAAGCATCATGCATGACCCAAATATTACAAACATACATTATACAATAATAATACTTTTTTAAAAAGGAGTTTAAAAAATGGTTAACCAGCATCATGCATGTCATGCATGACCCAAGTATTACAAACGAAACAACATCAATTCTTGTATGGTGTGTAAAAATAATATTGTACCTTATTAAATAAAATGCATTAAAATCATTTTAATAAAATGTTAATTTTAATTTATGTATGTAAATAAATAAAACTAATGCTAACTTACCGTTACATCAAGCCAATTGGCCATTTCATCAAACTCTCTATCTTCTGGGTTCTGTCAAACACATACCAAAGCATTACAACACAAAAAAGCTAATTAAATTAAATAATTTTCATTCCAAAACTATAAAACAATAATTTTACGAATCTGAAAATTTGGTGCAATAAATTAATAAATTTACTATCAAAATGCAATTTGGACACCAGGGACACCAAACAGTTTTAGGCAATATATAAAATTAATATAATTTTTAGTCATGACTTAAATATTTTCAATTATATTTAAAAATCTATTTTTTTTTAAATGTCTGCCACGTATGCTATAATAGCATATGTGGCAGACAATTGCAAATACGGATTTTGATTCTTATAATAAAAAATGTAAGGCAACTATTTTTAGTTCCTTATATGACTTACAGAAGATTTTCCCTGAGAATTTATACTGGCACTTTGGTCTGGATTTAGGTTATCACTGTAGGAGCTTCCCCTAAAATAAATCAATTAAATTTTTTATTATACTCCAATTTTCATAACATACTTTGTTTTAGAATTTTCATATGTTACTTTTCTGGATTGTGCAAACATATCAAACTCATCATCACCTTTTCCTGCAGTATTTGATGGAGCTTTACTGGGAGACAAGGCTAAAACAATTTTTATTTTAAAAACAATTTTTATTTTAAAAACAATTTTGATAATTTGATAATTGTATATGAGATATGCACCCCACTAAATGTTTGATCAATTTTTTTTTTAAAGTTATTTAGTTATAGTTTAAGTTATAGTTTTTTAAAAAATTCTTCAGGTTGAGTAAAAAAATCACTGAAAAGTATTTTTTTTTAATTCTTCAGGTTGAGTAAAAAAATCACTGAAAAGTATTTGGTGGTCGGGTTCAAGTGTTCAATTAAGCCTAAAATTCCTCTATTTCCTTAAATATGGTCTAAGAACTTTACAAATTTCCGGAAATATTAAGCCGGCAGAAGGCTTTAGGGAAAAAATTAATAAATTAGAAAGAAAAACTTTACAAAAATTGACATTAGCATTTTTTTCCACTGGTATCGAGAAAAATAGTATATTGCTTACCGAGCGTGGAATCATAGCAATTACTTCCGATGATGAAAAAATTTCTGAACGAGCCGATAGGCATTGAAGGAGTAATTGCGATTCCACGCGAGGTAAACACAATACTTTTTGGTCGAGTGGGATCGATTACAAATAGCCAACTTGGGTACCTGCAAAAAACTTGTGTCCCTAAACCACTTGTGTCTAAATTAAATCTGACGTTTACATTTAAAGTCAATCACACTGTAGCGTCGTCATGGTAGCGGGAGGGAATGAAACATTTCTTACCTGATAACAGGGAGGTAATAAAAATATATACAAGGGAAGGAAGATTTTCACAGCGGGATAAATAAATGTCATTAATTATTAACAATTGCGGCGCATTATTAACCACTCGACAAAAATCATATTTTTTTAATTGTTAATAATGCGCCGATTGTATTCGCAATTAAAAAAAAGGATAAAAAAATTCCAAATTTTTTGCGAGTTTTCGGATAGCTGTATCTTCGTTAAAAATGGTCGTATTGGAGCCGTAAAAAAACAATTTGAAGCTTGAAGTTTTTAGTTTTGAGATTTGTAAATGAAAAACGTGCAACGCTCAATCCTAACGAATACCGTAATAAAAAAAAATCAATTTTTTTTTACTTTCTTTTTTGGTCCACGGAATGTTCTGACTTAACCACCAATGAATAAATGTTCTACAAAAATTTGATATTGTTTTTTTGAAAAAAAAATTCCGTACTCTATATGAATTTAAAAAATCATGAAAAAAGTGCTTTTGGTAGCTTTTTGAAAAATCAAGCGCTGAATCAAAAATATTATAGGTAGTTACTTTTTTTAAGACCAAATCAAAACAAGCGCGGCCCTTATTGGTCAATTCGGTGGTGGTGGCGCGTGCATAGCGAGAGACTGTATTTACATTTACTAAATGTCATTTAGTGGCTAATTTTAGTCTGGACTGAAAACATAAAAAATTAGGCAAATGCGACTAATCCCGAAAAAAAAAATATGAAAAAAAAAAAATATGAAAAAAAACAATGAAAAAACCTAAAAAAAACAAAAAAAAGCTGGATAGGTTGATGGCGTCACCACTAAAATCTTGGTCTTGGATTTTTAAAATAAATTTTGAAATTTGTCGATAAACTTTAGTGAATTACCACTTTAATTTGAGGGCCAGGAGGCGGGTGAGGCTACACTTAAAACTAACTTGCGCAGAACTTGTACCCAAAATCCACAATCCGCCACTGAAGTATAGCATCATCATCATGATCATACTTCGTTTTTACTCTTTTTTACTCAAGTCCAAATAGAGTTTCGCTAATAATTTCCTAGCTGCGATGTGCGAAATATTAACTTGTGGATATTTCTGGTGAAATTTTTGAATAACCACACGGTAACATGAATCCCCAGTGCCATAACATAGGATTAAATAATAATTGCTTTATAGTTAACAATTCATAACAATTCAAATTGGAAGTAGATTTTCGAAAAAAATATTGACAGTAAACATTACCCACAGCACTCCATGATCAGAAGAAGTATAAAAAATGCATAAAACGACGATTTTTTGCTATAAATTGAAAAGTAAAAGCTTTCCACATGTCAATAGAAACCAATGCATAACTAGATAAAACACAAACACTGTTTTTTGAGTTTCTCGAATTTATTTTAATTTAATTTGACAATTGTTTCGCTAACACAGTAGCTTCTTCAGAAAAAAATATCTGAAGGAGTTCCATCAAGTAAAGGTCGAAACAATAAAATATGTCAATAGGAGCGATTTCTTTTGACAAATGACAAGTGAACGAAAGCTGACCAAAATGATATCAATCATAAAATTTTCAGTCCTATATTTTCAAAATTGCAAATTAACCATAAACAAAAACAATGATGTGTCGGACACAGTGGTCCTGAACGAGTCATAGGTTACATAAAAATGACGCCAAAAACTGACTGCAGTATTGGAATAAATCTGTGGGTAAAAGGCATAAGGGGATAAGTCAAAAAAAGCAATTTTTCAATAGAGATTTTAACGTGTTTGCATTAATTCAGGAAATACATTTATGTTTAGCGGGTATACGCTTTTATTAGCATATGACATGTGCTAACCAAAGGGTATACCCGCTAACCGTAAATATCTTTCCTGAATTAATGCGAATACGTTTAAGGCTCTACTGAAAAATTGCTTTTTTTGACTTATCCCCTTATGCCTTTTACCCACAGAAATGTCCTCTAAAGTTTAAAAATATGTTTTTCAAAATTGTAGCTGTTCCTTTTTTGAAGTTTTGCTTAATAATCCAAATATCAAACGTCATTTGGTGATTCATTTTAGGTTTTTACTATTATCATTAAAACGGAGGCCTTTGGAAAAAATGTAAATAAGGAAATAAAGGTAACTTAATTATCCATTAAATCATGCCTTCATAATTATGCCTAAACTATTGGCATACGAAATCGATGGACGTAGTCGTGAATTTTTTAACTGGGTATGTTTTATTTTTTTGTAAATAACCTGTCATAGGTTATTTTCAACATTGCAGCATCATTTTTCTTTAAAGAAATATAACCTATATAGGTAAAATAAAAAAGACAAGTAAGTACCTACCTAATAATTGACAAATATTATTGTAATGTTATCAACAGAAAAAGCAAGTGATTAATTAGTACATGAATTTTTAAAGTTTGAGATATATCAGCAGCTTTAAACATAACTACTAATGTTTGTACGTGCATTTTTATTTAGCCCAAATTTGGCGTTTTGGTGGAAAAATAATTCTCAACTAATTTATCCAAAGGACTAACAGTTTTCAAAAAATCTTTTGTAAGAAGAGTGTCAGGATGTTTCAGAAGCATTTAACATGCATTTCCCTTAAATATGTCACCTTGGTAGTTCTTAGAGACCAAATTCAGTGTTTTAGGCCATCTCAACGCTTTTTCTTTTCCCAGAAGTTTCACTAGTCCGTTCCAAAATACATAGGCAAAAGTGTTGCCTGGCAAAGGTGATTTTTATTTACTCCTTGTTGGTAATTTAATGTAAGCAACTGATGGTAGTATTATTGCGTGAGCGTATACCTCAACTACTGAACATACATTACTTAGGTACTCAATTTATTTAAGAGTCCTGCTTTTCTTAAATACATAGTTTTTTTAATATATAACCCATTTACTGTTGTCCTTTCCTTTTTTTGTGAAATATGGTTTCGGCGATTAATGTGCAAAAACATCAAGTTTTTAAACATTTTGTATATAAAAAAAATGATATCTACGCCAATGGTTGCGGTTGTTGAAGCATCATTTAATAGATAATTTTGTCGTCTTTAATTCTCTATTTTAAAATTTTTTCCTAAAGGGCTCAGTTTGAAAGAAATTCGCAAAAAATCTTAAATAAGTCACTAAATTACGGTTGGTATTTGAATTAACTTTCAAAATAAAAAAAAAATCAACTACAATTTTGGAAACATTTTTTTTAACTCTAGAGAGGGTCCTTATTTCTATAGCGCATTCAGTTTTTGGCGTCATTTTTATGTGACCTATGACTCATTCAGGACCCCTGTGCGCATTGTTTGGGGGTTTGAAATCAAGAACAAGTTTTTATCGACTATAATTACACAAGAGCTTATTTTTAGCCGGATAAATTTTTGTTTTCCTTAAAAGCTTGTTACCTAGCAATTTGACAAGAAAAAATGTCATCAATCAAAATTGCGAGACCGTAGGTCGAGCGATTTTGTCAGATGACATTTTTTCGAGCCAAATTGCTAAAAGGTAACAAGTTTGAAAGTTAGAAAACATAAATTTATCCTGCCAGAAAAAAAGCTCGAGTGTAATTCGACGAGATAATTTTGTGATTAATTTTTTTCATATTGCATGCCCAATCAAGCAAAATATTTGCTAAATCTTGCTGTGATATTGAGTCGAGTAGTTTGTAATTCCTCGCATTACAAAATGCCATATATTGTCGCCAAATTGACGCTTTAAGCTTAATTTTCATGTATCCGTTTGTCCGTCATCCGTATGTCAGTTTTTCAATAAAATCGTCCGATAAGAAAATTTTCATGCATACGTTTTTTAATGACGTTTAACGGATTGATTTTACTACAAATAGAAATTAAGTGTCAGTATATTCACTTACTAAATTTACCTAATACTTAAATATACCTTATAAAAAGAATATACTAGCGGTTGCACCCGGCCCCGCGTTTTATAGGCCCCGCGCGCATCAAGGCATCTTAACGAAATTATTGTACATTTTAGCAACATGGCAAGCTGTAAGCACAGCTTGACAAAATAATATCTGGTCATTGCCAGAGATAATATCTAGATACGATATACGATACCTACTAAAGCTTTGATTTTTTTATTTGAAGTTGCCTGTATCCGTTTAAAACAATTATTATTACGCCGGGAAAAGAATTTTTCAAAAATAAAATTAATAAAAAAATATTTAAGATCAAGAAGGTATATGCCAAGAACGACTAGTGGGTTTGGCTATATTGTCAATAGGATGTTGGAAAAGAGCTTCGCTTAAGCAGGGAAAAATTATGTGTGATTTTTTATTAAACGTTTATTTCTATATTAATTGAAGGGAAAAGCTGAACCACCCAAGTGCATTTTTAAGTCAAAATTTTCTACAATCCGGTAACACGCTTAAAAAAGCAGGTCTAGTTTAGTTCTAGTTTTAATTTTTTTTTGTTTGTCCTTTCTTTTTTTCCGTTATTCTTATTAAATAAAAACTTAACAGTAAAACATTATTCACATAACGAACGTAATATTTCCGTTTTACAATCTTATTGAAAAAATATAAAAATATTTGAAAATAAATTATCTTAAAATAACGTTAGGCGTCAAAAACAGATGTGTAGTGACGGATGAGTTAAAATTATTTAACCTTTCTCTGTCAGACGTACGAAGTTGAAACTTGACGGACCGATAAAATGTCATAATTTTCGAATTATAATTGGACCAATAAGAGCGCTTCCGGATGAACGGACTGACAGACAAACGGATACATGAAAATTAAGCTTTATTATTAAAGAATTATTTGGGATACTTTTTACAATTTGTTCTTTATTGTTTTTCGCCGGAAACGACACCAAAACGATTCATTTTAAAAGATTTTTTGACACCTGCTATTAAAAAATAATTATTTGCAAGGTGGTCAAGGAAATGAAATGACACGAGGTAAATAAATAATTATCCACTTGCAAAAGTTATTTTCCTTTTTATCCGTTATCAAAGTGACTTAAATGCCATTAAACTACGACGTTTTCATGTAAGAAACAAATTATCATGAATAAAACTTTCTGAGAAACGTAAAATAGTATTTGTTTTCCTCTTTGTAACATACTGTTTATATTTTTTCTAAAGCGGTTTTAAAGTCTATTCGACTTACTTAATTTTCCCATTTGCTTGGGCACGTCGTCATCGAAGTCGATTAGGCTGTCGCTGCTCTCCAGCGGCGGCTTGCTGGTGCCGCTCGCGCCGCCGCTGTTCGAAGGCGGAATCGCTTTCGTCAGTATGGCGGAGGCGGACTGACCGCTACCGGCGCCGCGATTCTTCTCCCATCGGCTGTAGCGCAGGAACAGGTTGTTCAGCTCGTCGTTGATGCGCAACAGTTCGGCCGTCAGTTCGTCGTTTGCCAGCTGACCTATCAGCTCCACCATCCTGGTCTGCATGCTGCGGCATACCGCATGTAGTTCCTACAACAAAGTTACGGTCCGGCCTGGATTGTCAAAACATTTATTTTTTTATTTCCACCTTCTTAGCTTATGTTCCGTAATTTACTGTCAGTACTGTCAGTACTGAAAACGCATTCCGAAACCCACTTTCAGTTACTGAGCTCAGTGGTAAATACTACCCTTTTATAAATGTACGGCAGATTAATTTTACTGAAACAACTGGGGACAGAGAGGTGCTGTGGCTCCAGTAAAACACATAACCAAACTTTTAAACAAAAAATAGCTGTCAAATAAAGTGAAGGATATAAATTATATCATATAATGGTATTTGGTGAATACCTGTAGGACTAATTATTTCAATATTTATTGATAAAATATTACTTGAAAGTACAAGCAGCAGTGACGAAGGCAGGTCGGCGGGGAGTACGCATACGAAGACCCAGAATATGAAACTACCTACTAGGTAGTACCTAGAAAATGTTATATATTTGTATTCAGAGGACGAATTTAAGAGTAATTTTTGGTATTTGGCTTATTGTTGTTGTGTCAGTGAAATTTTATATTTCCTATTCCTATATACATTTTTCGACGCGGACGACGATAACAATAAATTTTCCATATTTCTCTGCCATAAACCAAACATTATATTTCTTATACAAAAGTTTATATACAAAAGTGCTCTTTTAGTTTCACCCTTACTTCTTAAGAAGTCCCATAATCCAACTGAATGGCTTGTGCGGGTTAGGGGTAGGAACGGACCGCGGGCTTAAAGTCCCCTCCGAAGGAGTATTACACAATAGGACAAACACAAATAAACAGCCATACCCCTGGTGGGATTCGAACCCACGACCTCCGGCTTGTAGTCAGCAGCACTAACCACTCGTCCACCGTCGGCGATAACTGTTATATTTATTTTTTATTTATGTTCTCTGCTGTGCCGAAAGTAAAGTTTGTCAATTGTCAATAAATCACAAATCATAACCTTGCATAACCATTGTCACTTTCTGCTGCTACTGAGGCGCGTTCCAATTTCACTGTGCGTCAGTACTGAATAAATTACGGAACGGTCCTTTTCCGCTACTGACAGTAAAATTACTGACAGTAATGGCAGTAAATTACGGAACACAGCCTTAGTAAATGACATTTTATAGGTTAATTTTGTTGTTTTTGTATCCAAGTAAACGATACATTATGGGAACAGACCTGTAATATTTTACGGGCTTGTATAAAAGACCTGTAAAGTTTTACAGGCCTGTAGAAAAGCAATTTATGAAATGAAATGACACATTTGACACATTAATTGAAATTTTAAATTTGAAAATCGTTATCTTAAGGTGAAAATAAAAGTTTGTACGTGTCATAAATTGCAATTAATCTTTACTAGGCTCACTGAATGACAAACTCCCAGCTCGCCCGTAAAGATTCATTTACAAAGCTTGACACGTAAATAACTATTATTTCCCAAAACCCAAGTAATATTTTTAATTACCTTAAGTTCTAATTATTTATATAAAAGGTTTATAATAGTAATAAAAATAACCCACATTTATTCCGGTTTTAAAGTGGTCACATCGATTACTTATCGCTAAAAGTTTTATAACATGGTTGCAGAATACTGTTCGTTACCTTTCTTACAGAACTTTTAATTCATAGCACCTTAAGTTTTATAACTAGGTTATATAACTTTTTTGTAAATTTGTTTATAAAACTTGTGCTCCGGGTTTTATAAGGGAAATTATTTACACTATTGCTGGATTTATGCAGCACAAATTAACATTAACATTAAGATTAACATTATTATTAAGAAGTTAAATGAACGTAATCCATTGGAAGCTTTATGTAACATATTAACTTTAACATTAAGAGATGACCAACTTTTATCTTCTTAATGATAATGTTAATTTTTATTTCTCCTGCGCAGGTTGCGGCGCAATTTTTAAATAAACCGTGTCAGTAATGCCAACATACCTGAAAATAAAATAATACTCACTGGCAGTAAGTTACTGCTGAATGATTTTTTGTTTAATGATTGTTTTCTTTGGTTTATTGTTTGACGTGCAGTTTAGTTTTCATTCATTTTACCTAACAGATGCTAAAACAGGGTTAAAACAAAATTCAAACGAACCAAAAATGTCAGATGTCAAAATTACTTTAACTCATGCTTAATTTGCCCCTAATTTTGCTGCATAAAATACCCACCTTAAATTAGCTAAATGTTAATGTGTGTTGCTTATGCAATTTATATAAATCCAGCATACACAACAAGGTCTGTTCTATCTCATGCTAAACATACCAAAAATCACTGCAACACTGCACAGAGTTTAACGGCGGCCATTTTTGTTGTTTACAATTCTCGTCCTTTGGGTTTGTACTGTTTAATAATTGTTTTAAACGTTGTGTTTACTACAGAGTCACTTGCAAGCCTCAAATGAGGCCTTTAAGTGCTAAGGACAACCATTTGACTCCTCTTTTATAAAAAATAAACCTTATTCTATCAGGGCTGTCAAATGTCAATTTGAAGGTTAATTTGTAGGCTATAAATTAACCTTTAAATTGACATTTGACAGTTTGATGGCAGCCCTGATAGAAGGTTTATATTTAAAAGAGGAGTAAAATGGTTGTTCTTAGCACTTTAAGGCGTCTTTTAAGGCTTACTAGTGCATCTGTAAGAAACACAACGTTTAAAACGATTATTATTCTGTATAAACATAGCAAAAACCCAAAGCACAAAAATTGTAACCAACAAAAATGGCCGCCGTTAAACAGTGTGCACTGTTGCAGTGATTTTTAGTACGAGATAGAACACACCTTGTTGTGTGGATTGTGGTAATTATAATCTATTTAGCAAACCTACAATAATAAAAATTTGAGATCATCAGTATTTTCTGCGCAAGCGCCAACACCTTAAGTTATATAACAGTCACATAGATAACCTATAGTTATGGTTATTACCATTAGCAATTTTTTTAAACAATATCTAAGCACGGCACTGGATTCACCACCCCTCAAAACGACCCTATACTAAATTTTATTGAAAACTTTTAAGTAAAAAAATGCACAATAATAACTACAAAAATTTATTCTGTCAAGTAATCTATGAAAAAAACATTGAAACAAAATTAAACTTATAGTAATAGTACCATGTTGCTCCAAAAATACAGTTTATCAAGATCTACACTTTAAAATAAAACCGGTTAAAATCGCACAATAAATAAAGATTTTACAGGGGTGAGTCGCAAACAAATGGGTCACACAGTATGTATGAGCTCTAACTATTAAGAGTATTAATATCTTTCTCATTGCAATTTTTCATTTTCACATTAGTTAACAAATGAATAAAAAGCTAAACCCAATAAACATTTTGATAGGGAGTTGAATGCTCTAAAAAAAGGTAACTTGTGTTTTTTTCGCAAACCTAGCCATTCAAAAGATATCTTGGGTCAAACATTATTGGAATTATGCTGTTAAATACCACATGTCTCGTAAGAATGGCTCCAGTGTCGCCTTTTCAATCAAAAAAAATATTGTCTAAAAAGACCCTTTGTTACAGAGTAGAAAAAACACGCGATGAATATGGTCTACTGACTTGTTTTGCAACTACTAGCACCATCTCTTTGATTTTGTAAGGACTTATTGACCAAACCCTCGTAAAATTTTGAAACAAATAAATTACCTGCAATAGTTCCAATTCGTCGGGTTGCTCGTGTCCTGGTTTCATTTCGCCCAACATTTCCGCCAAGACGCTCATGTTGCTCTGAACGACATCGAGTTCCGATTGTAGCTTGGCTCGTTGTTCGACAGTTAATATTCCTGCTGGCGGTACCACTGTAGGCGATGAAGTTTCACCGGCCACGGGAAGTTCGGCTGCCATCTGAACTTCTGACTCCACACTCTAAAAACGTTTGCAACGTGTATAATTTTAATCAAGCTTTTTCTTATTTCATAAGAATTAATTAAATTTAAAAATTCTTACTTTTTGTGGTGTGTGGATTGGAGCAAGCGAGTCCAAATCTGTAGGAGGAAATTCGATGCCCTTTGCCATCAGATCCTGATAAACCGACACAACTCCGGACATTTCCGATTTGCTTCGGAACGCATCGGCCCACGACTGTATGAGACTGAGCACTTTTTCTTGTATAGCTGTGGGCGGGTCGTTTTTCGGACCTATCAACTTGACCTAAAACCAAAATTAGTAAATACGCTAAAGAAGCATCGCTAGTCATCGTAACAAAACTGCATCTTTTAATAAGCAGCTGTCAAACGCGTATGTTACAAACAACATTTTAATAATGATTTATGTAAAAACTGTAAACATTTAATATCAGGAAAAATCATAAAACAAATAAAGCTTAATTTTCTTGTATCCGATTGTCCGTTTCTCAATAAAATCGTCCGATAAGAAATGTTCTAATTTTCAGGCAACCGTTTTTAAATTACGTTTAACGGATTGATTTGGCGACAAATAGAAATTAAGGATAAGTATATTCACTTTACTAAATTTACCTAATGCTTAAATGTCATATTTACAATTATGTCAACAATTGCAATTAACAGTTAGCTGTCTAATAAATTTAAAGGTAGGTAAATATACCATATAAAAAATATACTAGCCTTAATTTACATTAAATATATAGTTTAAAAAAAACAGGTCCTTTTAGTTCTGGTTTTAATATTTTTTTATTTCTCTTTTTTTTCTGTTATTCTTATTAAATAAAAACATAACATTATTCACATAACGAACCTTATATTTCCGTTTTACAATCTTATTAAAAAAATATTAAAAGATTTGAAAATAAATTATATTAAAATAACGTCAGGCGTCAAAAACAGATAAGTAGTGACAGATGAGTTAAAATTATTTTAACTTTTTCTGTCAGACGTACGAAGTTGAAACTTGACGGACCGATAAAATGTCACACATTTTGAATTATAATTGGACCAATTAGAGCGCTCCAGGATCAACAGACTAACGGACAAACTGATACATGAAAATTAAGCTTAAGTCGTCTAAATGTAAACAGCATTATGGTAAAAGACCAAAAACTAGTAGGTATATTATGTTTTATATAATATATATATTAGACTGGGCCAAAAAAATCAACTATTTTTTTTTTTGAAAAGTATATCGAAAATATGGTTTGGGGTGACAAAAAAAAATTATTGTGAAAGTTTGAGTCAATATTATTAATATTAAGAGGTCTATCATCGCAATTTTAGGTTTTTTTTTCCTGAGCGAGTTTTTGTCTCAGAACTCCCAAAACATTGAGTTTAACAAAATTGACTTAAGAATATTTTTTGAAGAAAATTGAATGTTCTACAAAAAAGGTTAAATTGGAATTTCCCGTCAGATGAACCGTTTTCTTACAATCATGCCTTAAAAATTGGTTTAGTTTTACAATTTGATCTTTTAACTTTGGAATTTTGTAATTAATGTAAAAATCAGTACCCTGAAAAAAAAACGATAAATATTCTTATGGAAAATCAAATGCTCTACAAAAAAAGTCTTTTATCATTTTTGGCTAAATTCACTCAATCAAAAGTTATTCAAGGTTAAATTTGAACTCAAAACGAAATTTTAACCCTGAATAACTTTTGATTGAGTGAATTCAGCCAAAAATGTTGAGAGGCTTTTTTTGTAAAGCATTTGATTTCCCATAAGAATATTTATCGGTTTTTTATGGGTACTGATTTTTACATCAATTACAAAATTCCAATTTAAAAGATCAAAATGTAAAAGTATACCAATTTTTAAAGCATGATTTTAAGGAAACGGTCCATCTGACGGAAAATTTCACTTTAACCTTTTTTGTAGAGCATTAAATTTTCTTAAAAAAATATTTTTGAGCCAATTTTGTTAAACTCAATGGTTTAGGAGTTCTGAGACAAAAACTTGCTGAGGAAAAAAAAATTAAAATTGCGATGATAGACTTCTTAATATTAATAATATGGACTCAAACTTTCACAATAATTTTTTTTTGTCACCCCAAACCATATTTTCGATATACTTTTCAAAAAAAAAAATAGTTGTTTTTTTTGGCCCAGTCTAATATATATATATATATAAATATTATATTATAATATTATGTCGTCATGAATTCGTTTTAAAATGGAGTTGGCTTTTTTTAGAGGAATCATACATAAAAATGTGTGATTTTAAGGTTATGTTTGCATGACTATTATTCTGTGTTATGCTGGATTTATGCAGCACACATTAGTTAACATTAAGCTAATTTAAGGTGGGTATTTTATGCATCAAAATAAGTGGCAAATTAAGCATGCGTATAAGTTAAAGTAATTGTGACATCTGACATTTTTGGTTTGTTTGAATTTTGTTTTAATCCCGTTTTAGCATCTGTTAGGTAAAATGAATGAAAACTATAAACTCCACGTCAAACAATAAACCAAAGAACACAATCATTGAATAAAAAATCAATCATTCAGCAGTAAGTTTCATTTTATTTTCGGGTATGTTGGCATTACTGACATGGTTTATTTAAAAATTGCGCCGCAAACCTGCGCAGGAGGAATAAAAATTAACATTATCATTAAGAAGATAAAAGTTGTCCATCCATGTTAACTTAATGATAATGTTATTGTTAATGTCAACTTAATGTTAATTTGTGTTGCATAAATCCAGCATTAGATTTCTTAAAATATAAATTAAATATATAGAGTATAGAATGAACTCTCTAAATATGGTAAATTCATTTAAAATACTTTTTATCACACAGTCATGACTAAGTTGCAAAATTCCGCTCTTGTGATTACAAGTTTAAATAGTCTTTCTTACCAACTCTTGTACAAAATCTTTGCTGCACGCCAGCACATGAAACCTCTTGCCGCAATTTTTAACGCACGTCTCCAATACTATGAGGGTGTACATTACGACAGTGTAATTTTTGCCCACGTACTGGGTTAACCTTTTGCGAATGGCTTTGATCGCGTCTCTGGGACCTTCTTCGGTTTCATTGACGAGGTCGCATATTTCCATGTTGAGGGCCCAGTTTTCAGAGGCCAAGGAAGCATCTGTTGCCTCTTCTGTAAACCAAAAATTAATTTAATTTTTAACTTATTTAATAAGATTTAAAATATAAAAATAGAAAATCTGAACCTTATTTTCTGAAATCAGAAAACCCTAGGTATTAATCACACATTTTGCATAGGTAACTAGGTTTTTTAACATGCTCTGCAATAATCTGGTACTAACTTTGCATTTAATGTACAGGGTGTTATTTTTAGAATCGATTTGTCCACCCTTATTAAAATTTCTGTCACGCCAATAAGTTTTATAAATTGTTTCTCAAAATGCTCATTCATAATTGCAAATAAAAAAATAAAATCTGACATTTGTCAAATAGTTAACCTTACTTTTTACCAATTTTAAATGTTATTATAGACGCCTTCTCCCAATTTAAAACCCGATTGGTTCAAATCGCAGTGAATATTTAAATCGGCCAAACACTGATGCCTAACAACGTGAATATTGAGTTCATTATTCCCGTTGTTAGGCAGGGAATATATAATGTTTATCATTATTCACAGGAAACCCCCAATATTTTGCAGAATAGATAAAAGTAATCGATAAAGGCACAATAACTGCTTCTTGAGAGAAGCAAAGCAGTGGCTTAAAAATTTTGACAATCAGGTTAAATAATTGAAACATTTATTTCTCCAACGTCACTATTATTAATTGTTGGTTGTTAATTACATAATTTAATTTTTCTTTGCATTTACAACACAGTGTATCTTGCAATCTAAGATACCTGCCCTAACATCCAAATAAACTTTTCGGAGAATCACCCTACATATATTTATTTTTCAAATCAGTCTGGAATTGAAACAATTTGTCAGAAAAACTTGTTACCTTTTTTGTCATGATATAACAATATTTAAATTTAATTTGGAATAATTGTTGGTTTGTGTAATTTGGCAATATTATTTTCAAGTATACATAAACAATGGAATTTTTTATACAAATGTTTACTGCGGTTATAGGTGGAAATTATTTATGATAAAATATATTCATACATTTTGTTGACTAAGTAATTATGCTAAAAATATGATAGATAAGAAAATATAACAACCTTAATAACATAACATTAAATATAGCGAAAATTATTTTTGTATTCTTAATATTTAAAAGTATTTTTATAGAGGGTGTCTGGAAAATGGTGCACCAAGTTGTAGGGGGTCATTTTAATACTATTAACAAATTTTAATTAACTTAATAAAAACAAAGTTAAAATGATTTTAAATTTCCATTTTGTACTGACGTCTGCTGTATTGGTTCTGTTTCAGTCCAAACAAAGCAACAAACAGAACATCAACGTCATCTTATTTTGGGAATTTTTTTTTTTGGAGTATAACATGGAGTTTGTACTCCTTGTGTACAAAGACTAGAGACAGGAGTACAAACCGTTATGGAGGGGGGGGGGCAAAAAGTGTATGCAATGCAAGTTTCTCAGTGCGCCATGGAAGATTTAATTTCAAACACATGAACAACGTCATACTTCATGCTTGATTTTGATTGGGTTTGTGCACACTGCAGTTGTCTCATTAAAATACGCGTCAAACATGGGAAGTTTGTACAGTACAAATTGTACTCCTGTCTCTAGACTTCGTGGCCCCATGTTCTAAATCATGATACTTAGGGTTGTGCCTGGTCAATTGACAGAGATTTATACCTATTTTGACAGGAGAAATTTTGACCATGGCAAAATCGGTCAAAAACTTTTAATTCAACCGCGCGGAGGCGGCGCTACCTAGCGGAAAATATCAAAAGTATTAAAAAAATGTTCTGTAGTGGACCATGGTGCAATCATAATAATGCTTTTTAAATAGTGTTCTGGATCGTTTTTGACTAATTAATTTTAAGAGAGTAAAGACAATGGCGAGGTTGATGTGCTAGCACCGTTTCGGTGCGTTTCGGTACAATCTCATGTACCATCTTCAGGTCTTATCTGCTGGGCTGCTGTTGCTGCTCTTGCGAGTTAGACGTGAATGTTCTTAAAAACAATGATATTATGAATTTTTTTTGTACCTCAGAATGGTTTTATTATTTTTTGTTATCTGTATTTCAATAAATATAGGTTGCTATTTAAAATTAAGTAATTTTACTTTTGCCTTTATTTCTTTAGAAAAAACTAAAGAATTTGACCGGTGATTAGTCAATTGACTAGTCAATTGACCACAAAAGATTTTGACCGGTCAAAATCCCAACCCTAATGATACTCAATCATATTAACTTCAAGTCGCTGTAGATGCGTTTTATATTTTGTTCCGTAACAATCGTTTTTAGATGTTTCTTAAATCGGGTTAAAAAATACACAACGTTGCCGAGTTTTGTAAACTTTAATGATTAATAACTCGAAAAGTACTTGTCGCAAAAAACCTTCTTAGTTTTTTTATCCTTAAAATAACCCTTCTTACCACATTTTCAGGACATACAATTTAAATAATTTTTGAATATTTTAAATTTCTTAGGACAAGTTAAATTAAACTTGAAATAAAAATAATTTAATAAATATACTGTATGTCAACAGAGGGAAAAAAATAACATTTCTCAGAAAATTTCACTCTTTATAAAAGTTTTTGCTTAATTTCAAACCCACAGAATATGCGACACATCATTTTTATTATTGTACCTATATGGTTAATTTGCAATTTTAATTTTTCTAAAAATTTTGGACTAAACAATTTTTGATAACATTTGACATGTTCCAAGCTTTTTCTTTTCAATTTATTGCCAAAAATACATTTTTTTCCAGGTCGTTTTATGCATTTTTAATACTTTTTCATAAGTATAAATTAGGGACATCCGTTGAGAATTCATTTGTTGGAAAGAAAATGACAAATAAACAAAAACTGACCAAAAATTATTTTTATCCAAAAAAAATTATTCCAAAATGTTTATAAAAATCAAAATTGAAAAATAAACATAGACAATAAAAAGGGTATGTCTCTATTTTGGAAGTTTAAAATTAAGCAAAAATATTTATCAAGAATGAAATGTAAAATATTTTTTTTCCTTTATGCAACATCATCCTGGACATGGACTGTATATGGATATTTATTTTAATTATAATTGCAATAAATTGTATTTTATTAATAATAATACCTAAATGATTAATATTTTTAAAGAAGTAACAATTTTCTACTTTTAATTTTAAACAAATTTATTTAGTTGTTTCCAAATGAGGTGCATATAAAAAGAAAATGCTTTAGGTAGGTAGGTATTTCTTTTTGGTTTTGTTTAGTTCGGCAATTTTGAAAATTAATAAACTAAATTGGAATAGAAACAAATTGTTAGATGTCCATTATTATTAAGCTATAGTCACATATTATGTGCTATAGTCAATATATTGACCTTAAATTAAATTATTTAAAAAAAAAAACTTTTTATTAATATTATTAATATTTAACATCCTTAAGTTTAAATTTTTTAAATTGATTTTTGTTTTTTTTTGTTTAAAATGTAAAAATGTATTTAACATACCTAGACAATGTAGTTAGTTAGGTAAACAATAAGAATTTATATTTGCCATGTAGGCATAAACTGCAAGTATGGTAAATTTAAAAGCCTAATTTTTAAACATTTCGGTAAATTAACATAATACAATGCAGTTATGTTATGAGTATTATAAAAGTGGTAAGTAATGATAATTGTTCAATTTTCTATAATTAATAATTTATTTAGATATGCATGAATTATTTTTTTTATATAGAAACAAAATGTGCCTATGACTCACATTTGTAAGTAGATATATCTGTTCACATATATGTAGGTATGTGAAATTCTATATGAAGCACTATGTGCTTATGAAGATAAAATTGATTGGGAAACAGACAATATGTCCAAGGACATAAAAAATACTTATAATATACAAGGTAAAAAGTATATTTTAATTATTTCTTTTGTGTCCATATCACTGTCTTAAATGTAAATCAATATTTATTAATAGATTTATTGATTATAATAATTATAACTAATAGATTAAAGGATTTTTATATTTAAATAAAATAACAGTAACTGTTTTTAGTTACCTTTCTCACTTAATTATTATTTACTTTCTTTAAAAAACATTAATGTGTTTGTTTACAAGCCCATTTATGACTATTACTAGTAGCCCCTCCTATAAAGATTTCTAGGTAAGCCAAGGAGAATCTACTTCTATACTCTTAGTTTTGAAACCCCTTGGCAACAATTAAACCCAAATTAATAAAAATAAAATAAACAATTCGTCTTTGTGGGTTTGGAACAAAATTAAGCTAGAAAGCGTAACGCGCTACTTATTCTAATTTCATTTGTTTAAGTAGGTATTTGCATTACATATAAATATTTAAAATTTTTCTAAATACTTAAGAAATTCTGTTTGCCACTTTTAAAACATTAACAACAATTAACAACAAATTAAGCTAATTAAAGCCAAAACGATTCCTGGACAATTTGCGACTAAAAATAAATAAGATCACCGGTATACGATTTAAATCAATTAATTGCGTCACGAAAAAACAAACGGCTTCACTTACCTATTCTACTTCCCACTGGTGTGGAAAATGGATTTCCACCCAAGGCATTTGTCAAAAAAGACATTTTTCACCTTTTTAATCACAAATACAAATTTGTTGTTTTTATCTTGACACCTGTCACTGTTGCAGTCAAAACTTTTCTTCTTCTTCTTCTTCCTTAGGTTGAAGGCTAATGCGGCGTTGCCTTGTCTATTTTAAATATTGGGCTGTTATTTACATTCAAAATAAATAGTATTTTTTTAAATTGTTTTATTGGCAATGCAAGCAATTTAAGAACGAATGCATTTGCTACAAAATTAAATAATTTCAAGAATAATTGTTTTTAGACAAAACAATGCTTCTAAATAGGTTTGTTCCAACACGAACTTAAAATACTCAAATGATACCAATTTTGTAATATTAAATATAATTTATTACAGAAGGGTTTAGGATTTGCTAAAAATATGGCTTCTATTTGTTTCTTTATTCCATACCGTAAAACTCTTCAGATTCATCATTATCTTTTGGAGAAAGATCCTGAACCGTTATATCAAATTCTTCCTTTTTGATGTCGAAAAAGTGGTTGATTTCTAAAACTTTATTTCGATTTCTTGTAATTTCCTCTCTATAAAAAATAGTAAATATAAATAGGTATTTACGTAAAATCATGCTATAGTAGGTATACCTACCTATTTAAACCGTTAACTAAATTTTCAGACCATGTTTTAGATCTATTGACCAGTGTATCTTCTCTGTTATCAATAACTTGCATGTGAACATCATGTGTCGCTGTTATAGCATTTGTTAAAATATCTTTGTCTAATAAAAGCTAAAATAATCAGTCAATTATTTAATTATTAATATGTATTTTAAAGTTAAAATAAATTTTTAAGTTTTTATATAACTTAACTATTCTACACCGCCAATTGCGTCATAATTATAATCCGTTTTTGTTCCCCGAGCGTTTAATATTTGACAACAAGCTAGATGGCTCAGATGGTAGGGCGGGCGCTTGGCATGCGAGAGGTCCCGGGTTCGATACTAAGAACTTTTTTTATTTTTTTATTTCATAAATTTGTTGTTTCTTTGTTAAACAGTGTTCGGTTGGGTTGGGTTGGTTGGTTTGTTTTAGTTTTATCGTAACATAAAATCTACTAGAAGTTATCGAACTTTTTTTATTTCATAAATTTGTTGTTCCTTTGTTAAAGTGTTTTATTTTTATCGTAACATAAATTTGCCCATTTTACTTGGGTTTTTTGCTCAATGGGGCGGGGGGGGGGGGTCAATGGGGCGGGGTCGGTTGGGTTGTGTTGTTGAGTTTGGGTTGGTTTGGGTTTATGAGGTAATATATAATTTGGCGGTGCAGAATAGTACACCGCACGCGGTGCACTAGCAACAGCGTATAAATAAAAATATAAATATCTCGTGACGTTCAAAATGGGTAAAATTGTAGATTCTTAAGATCATGCTCGCCAATAGAGTGTATATTTGCAGTGGCGTAACTACAATGGTGCCAGTGGTGCGGTGGCACCAGGGCCCGCGCCATTGGCAGCGGCTCGGCCCGGTGGCTCGGTTAAAGCGTAATAAAATCTTTAAAAAAATTGTGGTAATTTTTAAAACTATGCAAAAACGAACTATTGAGTGTCGACAATACTTTATTCGAAATTTTTAAAATTGTTTGTTTTATAAATAAACGTATAAGTTTGTCGATTAATACGGTTGTATATAAAACTTTCGAAAAATATACTTCCGATACTGAAAAATTGGTTTTCAGAGCCGGCTTAAGGCAATTGAGCGCCTTAAAAAGCTTATTAGAGCCACCCCAAACTGTTAGCTTAAGGGCGCCCGAGCATTATAACCTAATTATTCCCTATGAATTATAATACTTTTTATCATTACAAAAATACATAAAAAACATAAATAACATACAAACATAACAAATATAATGTAAATAAAAAGTGTTAGGACTTATAAGTGCGTTTTTCTGCAAGATGTCATTAGTAAGTATTTAAAAAAAATTAAATCAACTTTAATTTTATGTATTTGTATGTTAGATGTACTGCTGGTTTATTGTAATTAGTTTAATATTAAAATTTCAGAAATAGGTACCTTAAAACAAACAGAAAAATTAACACCATCTAAATGTGAATTTAGCCAGCATTTTGTGTAACGTAATCTAACGTAACGTAATTTAATTTAAAAGCCAGGCTAAATCAATCTTAACTATCGAACACAGACTGCTATCGCCAAACACACAACACATAGAAGTGCCACTCTTGAATAAACACCCAAGTCCTTCCGGCAGCAGTTTCCTCTAGTATCGCGTACCCGCTGGGGCGAGCAGCACATCTCAGCGGGTACCCGATGCAAGAGGAATCCGTGTACTTGGAGCATACGGGGGTTTTGAAATAGTTTAAAGAGTGCTAAAGATATGTTTATACAGGGTAAAGTTTACAAATTAAATTATCTTTTAAGTTTTTGTTTGCAGAGTTTAACGTTAAGATTTATTATTATTTGTTAATTATACAGTTAATAATAAAATATCTTATTCTACTTCAAAACGCAGTGCACTCGTAATCAAGCATGGTGATATAACACCTGATTAATTTTATCTGAAATACATTTATGTATTTGGCATAAAAACAGAAGTGAATTTGCGGCACGCTTTTTTGTCGGCTTTATACCTCGTTATTGCAAAGGAAGCTAAATTTTTATAAAATAATAAAAGCAGTTAATAATTTTCTGTTTTTACAATTGTATATTGTATATTGTTTATTTGTTTTATTTTTGGAAAAAATAAACATTTTGGTAACAATTTTTATTTTTTTTAAGTTGCTTGGGGACAAGGCGCCTATTTCTACGTGGCGCCTAAGGCAATTGCCTTGCCTGCCTAATGGGTAATATGGCCCTGTAGGTACCTCTAGAAAGTGCTCACCAAATTTGAGCTCTTAATATTAATAGGAAGATCCTCATCACAGTTTTCCATTTTTTTTAGTCCCTTATAAAAAAGACCATATTTCATTATTAATCAATCGTTTAATCAAATATTTATACATATTTTTGTAGGAGATTGAATGTCCTACAAAAAAGGACTAGTGTTTAAGAGATTACTCTAACCATTTAAAAAAATTCAAGATCAAAGTTTAAAGAATTTATAAAAAAATAGTATATATAATTTTATTTTCAAATTTGGTGAGCACTTTCTAGTTTTTCAGTGTCGGAATTTAAAAAAATATTAGATTTTTTTTTAATCACTCTAATATACAATTACAATTTTTTTTTATAACTAAACTAATAACAGTTTTTGGTGGTGGTAGAATTGTTTTAGATCCATTTTGCACTTTGTTTAAAATAATTATAATTGGTGTATTACTGGTAGGTCCATACCTCCAGGAAATCATTCCTGTCGCGATTTATGATATATCCTACATTTTTTTTCATTTATATGTATATTATAGAGATGAGAGGGGGCCGGATCTAAGATTTGAAACCAGGGCCCCTCGTTGTCTTGTTACGCCACTGTCTGTATATGCATGGGGATTAGTAAAATGTTTTTGATCCGATAGCCTTGGGCGTAAAATGTACTGTTTTGTACAATAATGTTTTTTGCATTTATTTTTATCTTTTTTGAAATGTTTCTTTTGACATTTACCGATTTTAATAATGATGTCAGTGTCAGTTGTAAATAGAGTGTTTTGAAATGTTTGATCTTTTTTCTTCTTTTCACCGGCGTCCGTTAGGGGCCAGTAAAGGAGGCTGTAGTCAAAAAAATTTATAGGAACTTGTCATATTATTTTTATGTGTTCTATTTAAATCCGTTGTAAATAATTTTTGTTCTGATAGTCTGGGGCATTAAAAGTTGCTGAACCCTATTATCTTGCACATGACACGTCATGTCACTGCCCCAAAAATTTAATTGTGCAACATGAAAAAAGCGTCAGTTATTTTTTTAGTATAAACTAATGACAAATAGCAACGTTTAGGGCAACATAAATTTAAAAAAAAATTCAAAAATTTGTATTTTAATAAATTAAACGTAGAAAGATTAAAAATACAGATTTTGTCCGATATTCATAATTTTTATTATTTTATTTTAATATGCATAGGGTGACAAATATTAATAACAAGAAAAAAGTCACGACAAAAAGAAAATATATTATAATAATAATTATTGTTGCACAATGCTATTATTTATGTAGTGACGTCATTTGTCCCTGTGCAACAGAAAATATTTTCAGTCAAATGACAACTTTTGCAAACCCAGGTGTATTATATCGCCCAATAAAGGGTGCACCAAGTATTCCATATGTATATGTGAGGCCTGTCAGAGCAAAGTCAACAATCTCCCGTCAGACTAAAACTGAGTAAATTGAGATAATTGATTTTGATATTTTAAATTCTAGATTTGTAATTTTTTTTATATATTATATTGAAATATTGTTGTTGTTAGTCTAGTAGCAAAATACAAGGTCTCCAGGATGCATAGTATAGGTGAAATCTATAATTATAAATTGGAGATTGCTGACTTTGATATGAATTGCTGGAGATTGCTCATTTTGTTGTAAACGTTTAAGGAGATTTAGAAAAATAAACAAAAAAATAATTGTATTTTTTTCCTTTAATGGTTATAAAATTTAACTATACAATCAATGTGTGAAAATTCTGAACTGGACCACATAAATCTGGATTTTCTTCTAAATCTGGAACCAGGTTGCCTCGTGCCAAAAAGTTTTTATAGTACAACAACTCATCATCTTCTTCCCACTTTGCCCCGTAATGTTTTACTTGCAATGTTTTGACATTATCAGCCTTTTCTTGCTTTACCTTTACGTCTTATTATGGTATAATAGCACAAAATAAACAAGATAACTTTTTTATGATTCTTAAAACAATAAAACGTATATATACCTATTTTAAATATATTTTTAAGTGCAATTTACTGCAATAGAACTTAAAACTACCAGTATGTACCAGTAAAAAAACACAAAATTAAATCTCTAAAATACGTTATAACATCAAATGTTAGGATATCAGGTGACACAAATTACTAATTTCTAATGGTGGAATTGGAGATTATCGACTTTGCACTAAATGTCATTTTTAAAATAGGATTTTAGGCAGGATTTAGCTCCTTTTGCAGCACATAAATTTTATCATCTTATAGATAATTAGTT